TTAAGTGACCCATATGAAAACAAAATTCCTGTTATGTGTTACCATAGGGGTCACTTACAAATTAGGGATTGATGGTGAAAACGGGCACTACTCTTTTAAACTAGTGACTACGAACGAAGGGAACTAAGGATCGACCGGGGTTCTTGGGAACTTGTCAGGTTTTGNTTTTTCCTTTTGACGTTCATAAGTGCCAAACCTTTGTCACAACTGATTAAAAGGACATTTTGAAACTTGGTTGAGATAACAATGTTGGCATTAATACAGCAATAACAAATATTAAAAGTTGACCCATTCGTCCTAGACGTTCTGTTAAAATTAGAAAATATGGCCTCCGCAACGCAACATACCCTAACAACAGCTACATTAATGAATCCTATACAAGATACTGCGCAGTTGAGCTAAAACTGGCTTGTTTACATGCTAGCGATGATAATAATTGACTTAATAAACCGCACAGCAAACGGTTTTGGCGACTTTTGAGAAAAACAACTAAAAAGATCCATTTGAGCGGTGAAAAAATAGATCAGTGTTGCCAAATTTATTTTAGTACAGGTTTGAAAGGTACAAATAAATGTATGAATGAAATAAACGTAGGTAGTCCTCGCACGTGATTTTATAAATGTATTTTGTACCGGATTTGGGCTGAAGCTTCGCCAGCATAGAATTAAAATTCCTTTTACAAGATCACTTATACACCAAAGTACAGTCTACTGCTATCAGTAGTACAGTCTTGTATCACCTATTTTCTACTGCCCCTAGGACAAAATGCAAAATCGGACAGTTTTTAAGTCGAAAGATGGTTGAAAAGCCTTTTTTCTTGTATGGAGTTTCAAAGGATTCGATTTTCGATTCAATCAAAAGTGCCACTTGTATACCACTGGTACCACCCACTGATATACCCAGGTAAGTACTAAGCTGCCTAAAACATAGCAGTTTTATCAAAATCTGTTCTGCAGTTTTTACGTAGGCTACATCTCAGAAACTTTTCTTACATTAGATAAACGTATTTATTAATGCTTGAAGTATTAAGATATTTTGCAAACTTCCATAAAAGTAACATGTCTTTTTCTAACTTTTCGAAAAGATACTCGGTAGGAAAGATGCAAAATCGTTAAATTTCTATATCTGCAGTTACCGGTTCGCTCGTGATCGTGAGCCCCGCAGTTTCTAATTTCCAGTCGTTATCTAATTAATATAATACATCATATCATTTCATCGTTTACTAATTAATATAATTACTGGGAAGCTATTTCGACGTAAAATAAAAAGAACACAGATTGATTGAAAAGGGAATTTCGTAATAAAAATGAATAAATTTAAAATCCAGGAGGCGTTGTTTTGATGCATTCGAATTTCTGAATAAAAAATGATATTTAAAATATTTACACAACAAATAAATTGAGGTGGACTCTTTTTAAAAGTGCAAAGAAAGTTATAATAAGACCTAATGCAGGTTGCAGAACTTGCATACCAAGAGATTAGCTAAGTTAAATCAAGAGGTACCTAATAATAGCCAGTTCCTCTATGGTTGAGGATTCCGGGTGAAGCTCGCTTCCACCTTCGCCCTGATGCCCTGACGCCCTGGTGAGTGATGCACCATCAGGTGAGATACAGGCCAAGAGCTTCCTCGTTGTGGTTAAAAAAATAGTTTAGCTTAGTTCGAATAGCTGACAGTTTCCCATAGTGTTTGCAGTTTGAACACAACTATGGAAAACTGCGTCAGTTTGTCATGTCACCCATAGACAAATGGCAAAATGTGACAGAATGTCGAAAGATGGTCGAAAGTCCTTTTTTATGGAATTGCAACGGATTCCATTTTCGATTCGATCAAGAAGTGGCACTTGTTTAGACTAGACCGACTGATCTTGGTTTGTAACCCGCCTAACTAGCTTGATATTCTGTTGACTAAATAAATGTAAGCAGAAATAAATTGACTTATGCCCGTTTTCACCATTAATCCCTATTTTTTAAGTGACCCATATGAAAACAAAATTCCTGTTATGTGTTACCATAGGGGTCACTTACAAATTAGGGATTGATGGTGAAAACGGGCACTACTCTTTTAAACTAGTGACTACGAACGAAGGGAACTAAGGATCGACCGGGGTTCTTGGGAACTTGTCAAACAGGTTTTGTTTTCACCCTTGCCCTTACATCCTTTGTCCGCGTTTGCATTGTCCATAATATCCTTTTTGTTGGGAATTTCATTGTAAAGTTAAGCATAAATCGTATAAATGTTATGCTTCAATAAAAATTCTATTTTATTGAACACGTTCAATAATTCAGAACCTTGCAAGCCGTCACTCTGTCTGGTGTTCAGTAACTAACTCAACTATTAAATATATTTTTTTAATTTACTGGTGTGTGGAACAAAATACATAGATCACCTAACTAACACTGATTGAAATTATGTAGGGTAAGTGCGCTAGTTTTCGTCCAATTATCGGAGTTGCCAACTTTGTGATGCGAAATGAATATCTTAAAATACCCTTACTCATATATATCATAATTATGTCATTTTAATCCTTGTATAGTCTACTTTACGTTAATATTATATGACAATAAGTAAATACCACGGGTTTTTTTATAAAAAATATTTTATGCAAAAGAGGCAATTTCACTAGTTTTCGTCCAAAAAAATCATTTTTCGTCCTAGTGTACGCTAGTTTTCGACCACTGTGTAGAAAAAAGGGTGCAGTTGAATTATTAACTTAAAACCAATTCTACAATACAGTAACTATGGATTGTGGTATATCATTTGAAAGGTAATTTTGTTAGCTTTCAAATGATATCAAAAAGATTTAAATAAGTTTCTTACCTAAATTTAGGAAAATATTGCAATAGGTCGAAGGACAAATGGACGAAAACTAATTTACAGGAAAAGCTAATTTTGGTTTTCGTCCACCCCAGTGCTTGCTCATGACGTCATGGACGAAAACACAACAACGTTTAAAGCTGTTTTTTGTTTTCGTCCACATCTTTTTAACGGTTTTTATGGGTTTATCACTGTTAAAAAGTGGACGTAAACTAAAATGTTTAATGTAATAGCAATAAAGATCATATTGGAAGAAAAAACATTGTATTTTGTAGGTCCATTGAAGTAAAATGATTATTAAAAATATTAACTAGGTGTCAGGGTTTCCGTCCACGTGGACGAAAACCAAAATCTTGCAAAATTGTTATGCTAGTATTAGTCCACTTAATTATCTAAGATTTCTATACAAAAACTTTAATAAACTCTTAAAATAGTGTTTATTATGCTAATAATTAGACATACGTGCCAAAAACATTACGTAAAGTAGCTAAAACAGTAATTAAACATACCATGAAAGTTCCCTACCGGCACGTTTTTTTTCTAACTTGACGACGTTTTCCATTCACCTGTGTGCAGCAGCAACTTCCGTAGATTTTTTTGGAGTTATTACTTGTCAAATTACATTTTCATGCAGGCAGAACTGTTACTTAGATATTATAGATTGTAACAAGTCCAAACTTGCACGGAAAGTTAGGTTTGTATTCTAATTTTCCGTATTTGTTTGTGGCAAGTCGGTCAAATGGACGAAAACAGGAGCTGGACGGAAAACCGGCGCAATTACCCTACGCTAAGACCTACAATACATAACATATAGAAGGGAGTCAAAGACTACTAGAAGGGAATTTAAGATGACTACAAAAACATGATTAAGTAGTTACTTAGTTCATTATTTTTCAAAATAATTTAGTATCTTTTTTTCAAGCATCTGCTTCGCCTTCTACGCATTGTATCTCATATTATAGAGTGTAAAGAAATGTTTGCATGTATGGTATGGAGGTATAACTTATTTATTTTTTATACGTAACTCTCCGCGGTCCTGTGGTTTTAAACGGTGTGGTTTTTGTGATATAGAAATACTACAAAGTACCTATAATAAGAATGATTGTTCTTTTTAATGCATTAGTTAGCTTCCAGCGTGGAAATCCAGACAGTTTTGTCACTTCGCGTTGTTTGGTTTGGACAGCGATTTGGGACATAATATTTTTCTTAGATTTGTAAAAAGAAAGTTTTAATACACTGTCCCATTTATTGCCCCGAAGCAGTGATAGGGTTAAGTAATAGACTAATAAGGCAATTTCATTTATTGCAGAAAATAATTACCTACCTCTTCTGTTACTGATATCAAAATAATATCAGATCAAACTGGGACATGTAAAGCACATTTTAAGAGGTTATTTGCAAAATAAAATAAACATAGGTACTTTTAATTTCTAATAGCTTGAACGGCTTGTTCTATGTCAAAGCGAGAGCTTTCTTCTGCACTCTCTTTATTATTAACCGACTTCAAAAATGAGGTCCCTTGTCATCCCGATTCCAGACCTCCAGGTAAAGCCCTTTCCATTTATAGCAATGATCAATACAAAATATTCGCAGCGCGACGTTGCCGCTCTTACCATGAAAAACATGGCACTCTCTAACCACCTCAAACTGACTTTCATTCAAATGTCGACTTTAATGCTGAAAAATAAGAGCTTATTTCATAAAACCGCTTCGACGCATTCGTCTTTCTAGAACGTACAATAACGATGTAAACAAGTTCAGCTGTTATATGGAAACCTGCCTTATCGCCAAAAGATAAGGTATATTTTAGCATGTGGGACGAACAAACGAGCGTTCTGTGGCGTAATGAAGTAGATACCTACGTGAAGGCAATCACGAATTCACGATGTTGAACCCAGTTTATAATAAATACTTATGGTTTGTTCAAAAATAAATAGTAAAATAGCGTTTGGATTACTAAGAAAGTATATTGAGAAACAAATCTTTCTCATTTTGGAGTATTTTTCAATGACCTCTATACGTAAACAACATGTTGCAGCGATTTTTCAGACCGCTAACGCCATCTATCGCGTTCACTTGCAAACATTTCTGAGTATACCGTTATTTTTAATAGCACAGATGAATACCGTAAAGTTAACGCTAAAAAGTTTCAAAGTTGCGAAATTAAATTATTAAAAGCACTTACCATCATCGTTGTCCGATTCTAGGTATTCTTCCACGTACTCGACTTCAGTCGGTTGGTTATTTTCAGTGGCCTGTTCTAAAGCGGAGTAGGCCAAAGGGTGCTGTTTCCGCAAGTGAGTTTTCAAATTGTTTGTAGTAGTTTGATAAGACAAGACTTTATCGCAAATGTGACAGGATGCGAACCTCTCTTTCCCCTCTACTTGGGAGAAATACCCCCATATCTCAGTGTTTCGTTTAGGACGTTCTTTAGCGCTAGTTTTTGTTCTACCAGGAGCAATTTTCCCAATCACAACCGAGTGCTTTCTCTGCAAATGTATTTTTAGGTTATGTATCGTTGCATTGTAATTGTAAACATTGCTGCAAACGCGGCAAGTGGCCCGCCGTTCGCCGATTTCATCGGTCCCGCACTTGTCAAAGTAGTCCCAAACATCGGTGCTTTCGGATTCCATGATTAACGTAACGCTATCCGATAAAATAACGCGCACTAAAATACCAGGATAGCGTCCACGAAATACTGCAATAACGAGACGGGATGACACATGACGGTACGGGATTTTTATTGTCTGTGGCCACGTTAGTTCTGTCTACGAATGTTGATGTGGTGGCGCTGTGATCGCATAAGTAGCTGTTACTTTAATAGGTATTTTCTACTGAGTGGCAATATTATGAAGAAAATAGACGTTGGAAATGTTGCAATCCATTGCACATGCTGAAAGCTTAAATAAATATCACAGAATCAAGGATTTGTCAAGAATAAAATAATTGGGATCTTGGATTACTGGGAAATATTTTACACAGACAGTTGGTTCTCATCTTACTTACGTTATTTATAATACAGAATAATGTTAACATCTAATTGAATTATTCACTCGATTCAATTTGTAATTAATTTCAAGCCTTCGATTGGCAAATGTGTAGCATCTGAGCTACTAGCGCCCTCAGCGTAAACACATACAGTTTTGATTATTTATTATCTGTGAGCAATCATGACAGTTGATGTCAGCTGTTTAGGTTACAGCGGGAAAAATTGAAATTTATTTCGGAAGAGGTCTACTTTTCCTCAGTTTTTACATCCTACTTTAATAGTAAAAAATCATAATCAACGATCAATAAATTCATAACAATTTTTTTCCTAGCTACTTACTACCCTTTCCCTCTCCTTAGGATGGGACACACATAGGGAAAACTAGCAATAATTGAACACAATAATTAGTTTAAAACTTACATTATTTTATTTGTTTAAAAGCAGTTGGTTAAAGCATTTGTATGATTTTTCCTACTCCCTGAGATTCTATTACACTATGTTTAACAACTTTTAATATACATGTACAACAATAATTATAATATTATAAGCTGTACAAGAAAATATTAGTCCATAATTTATTAATTATAGATTTTTTTATGTACAAAACTTTAAATGTATGCCTATTAAGTTACGTCCATTGATATTTGACATCAAAATACCTACTTTTATAACAAAAACTCTACTAGTCCTTTATTTACGTTTTTTAATGCAGAACAAGGCAGGTATTTGACCGTAATCGCGCCTGATGTTAAGTGAGATGCAGTCTAGTCAGTAGCGGCGTAAGGGGGGGGGGCGGTGGGGGCGGTCCGCCCCGGGTGCCAAGCATCAGGGGGTGACAAAAATCGCGCAGATTAGTACCTCACTGACGCATCTGCATGACAAAGATCATGATACGGGGGGGTGTCATTATAGCTGATTCGTACATCTTTCATTTCATCTTCGAATCGGTAACCCAAAAATCCTGGGGGCNTGAATGTTGTTGTGGTGGCGCTGTGATCGCTTATGTAGCTGTTACTTTACTAGGTATTTTCTATTGAGTGTCAGTATTATGAAGAAAATAGACGTTGCAATCTATTACACATGCTGAAAGCTTAAATAAATATCACAGAATCAAGGATTCGTCAAGAATAAAATTTTTGGGATCAAGGATTACTGGGAAATATTCTACACAGACAGTTGGTTCTCGTCTTACTTACGTTATTTATAATCTACTATATAAAAATAAGTCGGGTTTTCCTCCCTGACGCTATAACTCCAGAACGCACGAACCGATTTCCACGGTTTTGCATTCGTTGGAAAGGTCTCGGGCTCCGTGAGGTTTATAGCAAAGAAAATTCGGGAAAAGGGGGTAAAACGGGATCCACGCGTACGAATATGCGGGCGGCCGCTAGTACAGAATAATGTTAACATCTAATTGAATTATTCACTCGCTTCAATTTGTAATTAATTTCAAGCCTTCGAATGGCAAATGTGTAGCATCTGAGCTACTAGCGCCCTCAGCGTAAATACATACAGTTTTGATTATTTATTATCTGTGAGCAATCATGACAGTTGATGTCAGCTGTTTAGGTTAGAGCGGGAAAAATTGAAATTTATTTCGGAAGAGGTCTACTTTTCCTCAGTTTTTACATTTACATCCTACTTTAATAGTAAAAAATCATAATAATCAACGATCAATAAATTCATAACATTTTTTTTCCTAGCTACTTACTACCCTCTCCCTCTCCTTAGGATGGGACACACATAGGGAAAACTAGGAATAATTGAACACAATATTGAATACAAAATTTACATTTATTGGTTTAAAAGCAGTTGGTTAAAGCATTTTTATGATTTTTCCTACCCCCTGAGATTCTATTATGTTTACTATGTTTATTACTATGTTTAACAACTTTTAATATACATGTACAATAGTAATTATAATAAAAGCTGTACAAGAAAATATTAGTCCATACTTACCTGGTAATTTATTTATAGATTATAAAGGAGTTGTCCCAAAATGTATGGAGCCTAGGCCCACAACCTGTACACCTACCAAAAAGAAGGGCTTTTAAATGTACAACAGTTTCTTACTATTCAATTTCTTTTAAATGGTTTAGTTTATTCGCTTAAAACAAAAGATTGTTAAGAAAATAGCAATACTCAACCACAAAAACCATCATGGTGGACGAATGTCATTTTGATGACATCTGTCACTTTTGACATTAAGTCGTATCTTGGTGGAGAGTGACAGAAGAAATCTGACAGCGACTGACGTTTAGTTAGTCTATGGTTCATCTTTTTTTTTTTTATCTGACGCCATACGCCATCTTGTGTATGCATTTGAGAATGATAATTCATGAATAGTTTTTGATTTTGAGCGGCTAAATTATATGCTAGATATAGTTATTTATATTTTTCCCTTAATCAGTAGATTTTTCTTGATTTTTGATATGGCGTACAACCTCTGGGCCGAAATTGGGACATCTCCTTTTTTATGAACAAGATTTTAAACGATGCCTATAGAGTTAACGTCCATTGATATTTGACATCAAAATACCTACTTATACAGGGTGTTAGGTAAATGGGTATATGGGCCGACACTAGCCCATGTTAACATGGTCATATAAATGGTATGGTGAAGTCAGAAAATTGATATCTTCATTTTAATTATTTTAATTTTCATACAAATCGGATTTTAAAAAATGTATTTTGTATGAAAATTTGAAAAATTAAAATGATGATATCAAATTTCTGACTTCACCATATCATTTATATGACCATGTTAATATGGGCTAGTGTCGGCTCATATACCCATTTACCTAACACCCTGTATATATAACAAAAACTGTACTAGTCCTTTATTTACAAGTTTTTTTTATGCAGAACAAGGCAGGTATTTGACCGCAATCGCACCTGATGTTAAGTGAGATGCAGTCTAGTATAGTACATATCTGCCCTGAAACGATTACGAGGTCTCACAGTGCGCGTGGACGCACAGGGTGACACACGAACCAATCACAGATCTCTATTCAAGGCTGTGCGTTCGATTTGCTGCTTCAGAAGCAAGCATCGTTTGTGAAATTGTATCAAAGTACCTATTCACTTTTGCCTTGAAAAATTTTAACTACATAATTTATAACAGCTCATGGTTTTTCACGACCGTGATTTTGATCCTATATTTAGGCCAGGTTAGAGTGAGAGGCAGCACTATAGGTTCTGGAGATTGCTTGCTCGCTTCCTCGTCGGAGTCCGATTCTGAGTCGGTCTCGGCCAGTTGGGAAAGATGGGAGACCTTTTTGGACATATCTTCGGCTAGCTCTTTTGGTATTAGCACCTGGAAAGACAAAAGAGTTTTTAAATTACAATCTTAATTGCGGTAAAATGTGGGTTTAATTTAAACATTCATTTGGTTTTCTTTTTTTAGACAATGATTTATTTAAAATCACACCGTACGAATCAGTCAAAGATATTTGCGAATATGCACTAAAGTATTTATGAATATTCGTGCTTTTTAACTCTTTAAAAACTTGTTCAATGATGATGATGTAGCTTAGTAAACTAGAGAGACGGGTGCTCCTGCCTCTGACGATGATGAATCCTATTAAATGAAATTAGAGAGGCTTGTGCTTCTTAAGTAGAATAAATTATCTGACATTGATGGAGCTTAGTAAATTGTGTGGTGGATGATAAGAATCTAATAAGAAAAGCTGTAGAGACTAAAAGACGTGAATTGACACTAGTTCGACAAAGACTCGTGGCAGGGGAACCATAAGTAATTTTGGAAACAGAGATGCACAGTCGCTAATATTTGATTAATTATAACGTATTATAAACAACGCTATGGCTGCCTCTGTGTGACGTCGCCCACAACCAGTGTGAGTGCGAGGGAAAACGTGATATGCACTGTTTTATCATTACACCGCCTGCCACGAGTACACAGAGTATAATGAGAATAAAGGATAGACGATGAACCCTAGTAAATTAGAGATACATCTTACCTGTAGCCAAGCCCCGCTAGCTATTATACTTTACAGTTGGCACCCCTGGCGATTGACATGCCCTTACTCTACAGTGGCGCCATCTTGATGAGTGCAAATGCGATAGTCCTCCTACCACTTTAGCGCTCACAAGTTGGCGCCACTGTCTTCGCTACTAGCAAGTGACAGGACCTTACTCTACAGTGGCGCTAACTGGTGAGCGCTAAAACGATAGCCCTCATTAGGGTTGACCTCCTTCTGTGAAGACTATTATACTACTAGCGGCCGCCCGCGACTTCGTACGCGTGGATCCCGTTTTACCCCCTTAGGCGTGGAGTTTCGTAAAATCCTTTCTTAGTGGATGCCTTCGTCATAACATCTACCTGCATGCCAAATTTCAGCCCGATCCGTCCAGTGGTTTGGGCTGTGCGTTGATAGATCACTATGTCAGTCAGTCACCTTTGATTGAGTAATACAGGGTGGAATTTAGTAATGCCACCGGATTACCCATAATACTGTAGATAGAAAATTTTACTCAAAGAAAACATTCCTTTATTTTTGAAAAGAAAGAGAACTGCATACAAAGATTTCTAAAAATTTGCCTGCTACACCTGGGAATCGAACCAACTAAAATCTGTTAAAAATTACACCCTGTATTTTTATTGCATCGATCGTTAGTGTTAAGCATAAGGATGAAATCTCTTCAGGTGGCATTACAAAATTCCACCCTGTATATTTAGATGACTTACGCACCTGTAGCCAAGCCCCGCTAGCGGCTAACGGACGCGCGGGCGTGGCTATAGCGCCGGCCACAGAGGCCGGCACCAGCGTCACTGCTCGCTCTCCCTCGCGCCATGTGAAATGGCGACTAAATGACCTGACGATGATGTTGCTATCTCATTTGTATCAGGCACCAGCGTCCCTTCTGATTTGAGGGTTGTGTGTGTCCTGCAGTGGAGACTATATGACCTGATGATGACTGTAGACCAGGGGCCTCCAAACTACGGCCCGCGGGCCATATCCGGCCCGCCACTGCTATCAATCCGGCCCGCGACAGTTTAAGACTAATGCCCGTTTTCACCATCAATCCCTAATTTTTAAGTGACCCCTATGGTACACATTACAAGGCATTTTGTTTTCATAGAAGTCACTTAAAAATTAGGGATTGATGGCGAAAACGGGCATAAGCCTATGTTGCATAGGTGGACATAAAAATTAAAATTGTTATGGCCCGAAAAAAAAAATTATGGCCCTAAGGCTTCAAAGTTTGGAGACCCCTGCTGTAGACTATTTAAATGAGTGTCGTGTGCATTATTTGCTGATTTACCATCGGCTTACCGCTACGTCTGCTAAGCGACTGACTCCTTTTACTCTCACTGATGTCACGTGATCTCATCGTTTGTGTGAAACAGTGCATTATTTATTTATTTATTTATTTATTTATATAATTCACTGTGGACTTACAGTTTTACCCAAGACGTCCATCAGCGGCAGAAGTATTAATTAATTATATTCTAGTACTTGGCTACAAACACCACAATATTGATGCTATATCGTAAATAAATAAATACCTGCAGCCAAGCCCCGCTAGCGGCTAACGGACGCGCGGGCGAGGCTATAGCGCCGGCCACAGAGGGCGGCACCAGCGTCACTGCTCGCTCTCCCTCCCTCCACGTGAAATGGCGACTATATCATCTGATAATGAACCCTGTATACCTACAGCCAACTGTTGCTATTGGAGACTATTATACTATATCGTACTTACCAGCTAAGTGCCGCTAGCAACTAAATTCCGGTCGCGAAGCAGATAGAATTTCGTCAATTGACCCCAAGCTACCCATCCTTATCGCTCGCGTGTAATATTGCTGTCGCGCTCGCACACTCACTGCGGGCGCCCGTCGCACAGTCGCGACAGCAATATAATTACGCGCGAGCGATAAGGATGGGTAGCTTGGGGTCAATGGACGAAATTCTACGTGCTCGGCGACCGGGCTTTAGAAACCGTCCTGCTCCTGCTTTGGAGACTAAAACACTCGATGATGGATACATGTAAATTAGAGAGGGTTGTTCTCCTGCAGGGGACTAAATGACCCGATGATGAACTTACCTGTAGCCAAGCCCCGCTGGCGGCTAACGGACGCGCGGGCGTGGCTATAGCGCCGGCCACAGAGGGCGGCACCAGCGTCACTGCTCGCTCGCCCTCCCGCCACGTGAAATGGCGGCCGTGGGACACGCGGCCGCTGTGGAAATATAAAATGATCAATAGTTATAAAAATGTATCTGTACACAAAGACATAAATTACTATAATATACAGGATGGAATTTTGTAATGCCATAAAAAAAATTACTTAATGAAAACATTCCTTTATTTTTGAATAGCTTTTGCCCGCGGCTTCATCCACGTGAAATTTAGTTTGTCACAGATCGGCATAAATTATCTACTATATAAAAATAAGTCGGGTTTTCCTTCCTGACGCTATAACTCCAGACGCACGAACCGATTTCCACGGTTTTACATTCGTTGGAAAGGTCTCGGGCTCCGTGAGGTTTATAACAAAGAAAATTCAGGAAAAATTTAAAGGGGATAAAACGGGATCCACGCGCACGAAGTCGCGGGCGGCCGCTAGTAGCCTATGTTATTCTGGGTTATAAACAAAAACACTGTTAAGTTTCATCAAAATCCATTTAGTAGTTTTTGCGTGAAAGAGTAACAAACATCCATAATATTAGTAGGATAGAAGTAGATAAATGAAAAATGCTAGGACTCACTCTATAGCCAGCGGCAGCAAGCTAGCGCCTTCTGCGTTCATAACTATGTGGACTTCGTCGAAATATTCTACGAGCCCTTCACTGCGGGAGTCCTGGAAATAAATGTCCAAAATTATTTAGAATACAATGTTATGGAAATAACAAAAAGTGTAACATCATTGTAACCGCATGTGTAAGGCAAGTTCTTTGAATATTAATAACCAATCAGATTCCATTATTTGCACATCTTCACTCCGCTCCGCTTCGGTGAAATTATCGAGCGGTGAAGTGTCAGGCCGTCAAATGGCAATGCCAGATTTTGGATGGAAGGTGGCGTCTTTTTTTTTTCGCGCGGCCATCGACCAAACTTTGTTTTTTGATTACAAAATAGTGTAATAAACCAAGCTTACTATGACGTGTATACCTCTAAACTCAGTCTGAACTGAGTTACGAGCATTAGAAGTTTGATGATTTTCATACTAGATTTGCTTTTTGCGCGCAAGTTTTGTAAGAAATTGCAACAAAATATTGCGCTATTTTTTATTGCGCTGATTCTGCTCCATACTGATGTCTGGAGCCTTTAATGGATGGTATTGTTTATTTACACATACAATGTCACTATTTTGTTGCAATTTCTTACAAAACTTGCGCGCAAAAAGCAAATCTAGTATNGTTTTGTAAGAAATTGCAACAAAATATTGCGCTATTTTTTATTGCGCTGATTCTGCTCCATACTGATGTCTGGAGCCTTTAATGGATGGTATTGTTTATTTACACATACAATGTCACTATTTTGTTGCAATTTCTTACAAAACTTGCGCGCAAAAAGCAAATCTAGTATAAAATCATCAAACTTCTAATGCTCGTAACTCAGTTCAGACTGAGTTTAGAGGTATACATGTCATAGTAAGCTTGGTTTATTACACTATTTTGTAATCAAAAAACAAGTTTGGTCGCTGGCCGCGCGAAAAAAAAAGACGCCAATTTCCGGCATTGTCTTTTTTCCATAGTGTTTGACAGCGGCGGCGGCGGCGCGGCGAAAACGGAGACAAGAAGTGGAAATAATGAAATCTGGTTATTTAAAACACTTCTCCGCTCCGTTATGCCTTGGTGGAAACCGGGCCTTATACAGTACAATGATGTGGTCCAAAACTTATGGCGAGATAACCATCAAAGAAATTATAAGTCCATTGGCGAGTTTACCAACTCGCCAATGGACGAGTTTTTAGATTGGCGAGTTGACACATAAGCCGGGGTTATTTAATATACAAAACAGTCAAGTGTATGTTAAAGAAGGGTCATCAGGAAAGAAGTATTTACCTGCATTAATTCTGGCACATGCGGCAGTGCTCTCTCAATGCTTGACATTTCGAAGCTATCTGTAGACATGTGACCTGGAAACGAAAGAGTAAGAAAACCAGAATAAACTGAGTTGAGTATTAATTAATAAAGAATGTCAATTGATTAGGGTGTCCACTACTCTTTTATTTGGGGTCCCAAGTTACCCCACGGCATTTTAAAGGTTCCCTTGGGGTTTTTAGTGACCCCACAGTGTCTGCTTGTCAATGAATCAAAATCAAAATCAAAAATATTTATTCAGTTTAGACCACAAGTGGCACTTATGGAGTCCCCAATGACCCCACTGCGTTCCAAAGGGTCGCTTGGGGTCTCCAGTATCCCCACGGCGTTCAAAAGGTGTGCTTGAGGTTCTCAATGACCCCACAATGTTCAAAATGTTAATCAACAATACTTTCAGGCTCCGTCCGTTCTGAGCTCATGCTGAGCAGTTTATGCTGCATCGTGTCTTAGACTTTTAAGCCCCAGTGACTCCACGGTGTTCAAAAGGTTTGTTTGGGGTCCCTAGTGACCCCACGACGTTCAAAATGGTAATAAATAAATACCTTCAGGTCCAGTCCGTTCTGAGCTCATGCTGCTAAGTCCTCGCTGCAGTGTGTCTTTAATCTGTTGTTCGACACACGCCGGCAGTTCGGGAGGGCTAGGCTCTGCTTCTGTGGGGGCCTGGAATGAGTAAATACCATTTCAGGATTGAACCAAATCTTTAAGAGTTACCATAAACTCATTTTGCATTAGGCATTTCCTTTGCTGAGTGGTTCTGACAGAAGTGGCAGAGTAAGGCTTGTTTCAGATGTACCACAACTACAAAAGAGTGCTACTCCTGCGTCTGATCCTGAGTCGCATCTGACACTTAATAGGGTGCGAGGTTACCCCAGAGATAGGGAGGCTGAGGAGCAAGTTTACCCCACTAATGGGAGGCTGGGGTGCTAATTCACCCCACTGAGGGGGACGGGGGGACGGGTGATCGCCCCGGGTGCCAAGCCATGCTACGCCGCCACTGAGTCTAGTACGGTATATATCTGCCCTGGCCTGTATTAACAAACATTACGAGGTCTCACAGTGTGCGTGGACGCACAGGGTGACACACGAACCAGCTCTATTCAACGCTGTGCGTTCCATTTGCTGCTTCATTTGAGCAAGCATCGTTTGTGAAATTGTATCAAAGTATAGCCCGACCAGGAACATAAAAACCCTCGCCATATTGCGGAAAACTAATGGTACTAATTTATTTTAATGGCAACAGTAACTGAAAACTTCATTGACNGGTTCTAGTTTGCCCTAGAGATGGGGGTGGGGTGTCTAGTGTTGGGTAGGGTGTCTAGGGGTAGCTGGGGTGTTTGAGGGGGGTCGAGGGCGGGAGCTGGGGATGTAAACTTACCTCAGACTGGGGTGCAAAGAATCTTCATCTAGGGGGGCTGGGGTGAAAAGTAGCTTCGTCTAAGGGGGCTGGGGTGAAAAGTATCTTTGTTATGGGGGCTGTGAGGTTTGGAGGCGGTAATCTAATAAGGGGGAGGCTGGGGTGTATACATACCCCACATACGGCGGCCCATTGTAACCTCGCCGAGACTCCGGCCAGCTGAGCTGCGAGCCGCACGCCGCGCACCGAAACTCGGCGATTCACTCGCGTCACTAACCATGAGCCTGTGTCGCATCTGACACTAATGGGGTGCAAGGTTACCTCAGAGATAGGAAGGCTGAGGAGCAAGTTTACCCCACAAATGGGAGGTTGGGGTGCTAATTTACTCCGCAAATGGGAGGCTGGGGTGCTATAATTTACCCCACTGAGGGGGACTGGGGGAGGGCTGAGGTGCAAGGTCACCCCACCCACAGATGCTAGGGAGCATGGTTGCCGAATTGATAGGGGGTTGGGGGTTCTAGTTTCCCCTAGAGATGGGTTTGGGGTATCTAGGGGTAGCTGGGGTGTCAAAGTGGCAGCTGGGGATGTAAACTGACCTCAGAGACTGGGGTGTAAAGAAGCAATTATTTAAGGGCGCTGGGGTGCGAATTTACCCCTAAGATGGAGGGGCTGGGGCGTTTTAGATCTATTTAGGAGGAAGGGTTGCAAACTTACCCCAGATATGGGGGATGAGGTGTAAGAAGCTTTATTTAGACAGGCTGGTGTTAGCGCTGGGGTGTATACATTTATTTTTTTATTTTTATTTTCTTTATTAGGNTTTTATAGCCCGACCAGGAACATAAAAACCCTCGCCATATTGCGGAAAACTAATGGTACTAATTTATTTTAATGGCAACAGTAACTGAAAACTTCATTGACATGTCACCTTGCATGTCAGTCTATTGCTGTCAAAGTGTAAACAAACTTTATTTTAAATGTGCGCAATTGATTTTGTGAATTAAATTGCTGAAATCTTTTTATAGTCGTGAAAGAAAAGTGGTTTACAATGTGTTAAAGTATTTGTCGAAGAGAAATACTAAGGGTTCGGACAATATTTTCATTGAATAAGGTTTCCGACAAAGGTTGTCAAATTGACTGACATGTTTATCGTATAGTACAGTACACTATGAAAATTTGTTGTGGTTTGTTTCAACTACCTATTTTAAAAATAAATGACACTTTCTAAGTGTTGAATTTTATGGAATTGGGAAAGAAGTACCGAGTTTGAAGCGTTCATGAGCAGACATTGCAGTTGAATATTCAAGTTCTGAATTTGATTATTGATGAATAATAAAATAAATCCTACTAGCTCGATTGATGGTTTCATTTAATTTATTTAAACCAGGTTACCTATAATAATAATTTTTCGTTAATTTATGAAAATATCAAATTAGCCCGTAATCCTGAATCCTGATACATAAAGTTAGCCTATTAATTTAAAACAGATACGACTGTACTCAGTGTTGCACTATCAAATGCAATTGACGCGCCTCTATGGCAGGGTTTTTATGTTCCTGGTCAGGCTATACCTATTCACTTTTGCCTTGAAAAATGTTAACTACATAATTTATAACAGCTCATGGTTTTTCACGACCGTGATTTTGATCCTGTATTTAGGCCAGGATAGAGTGAGAGGCAGCACTATAGGTTCTGGTGATTGCTTGCTCGCTTCCTCGTCGGAGTCCGATTCTGAGTCGGTTTCGGCCAGTTGGGAAAGATGGGCGACCTTTTTGGACATGTCTTCGGCTAGCTCCTTTGGTATTAGCACCTGGAAAGAGAAACACTTTTTAACATCTTGAATCTTTATTTTTGTAATTTGTGGAAGTAAAAGACATTAGATTCTTTTAATATTTTGCCGCTGGACATGGAAACATTTTTATTTTGATACTAGCGGCAGCCCGCGACTTCGTATGCGTGGACCCCGTTTTACCCCCTTAGGGGTTGAATATTGCTCGGAAATTATTCAAAGTTTTTTCGCCGAACCATCTTTGAACTTCAACGAACATTTAAAAAAAGAATTGGTAAAATTGGTCCAGGCGTTGTTGAATTATGCGCTTACCAACACATTTTGCGATTCATTTTTTATATTATAGATTATCAATTCATCATTATCATTTTGTCCATTAGGCCATTATTTTAGTCTCCACTACCTTTGAAGGAATGAATTTTCCAAAAGGAGGATTTGACTTTCATTCCATCGACGGGTTGGGTGGACCGAGAATGGTCTCTTTGTCCCATAATCACTCTTGTTTCACGACATCCATGGGAAGAAGTCCTATTTCACTCTTTCGGAAACTCATAACTAAGTAAGTGGTCTATGAAATCAAAAAGTTAGGCCAACTTTGGTTCACTGGTTACAGAATAATTTATTTAGAAGTTATTTTATTTTATTTGTTTAACAATGTTTCAACAGCATTCAATGTGCAACATGTGCAGGAAGATACAACTTGAACATAAGCCAATTAAAGACACACATTCTACCACTAAACATTTTTAAATAAGTTAATTTTATGTGAATTTGTTTTGTGTGTTCCTGCTTGCAGTGGAGACTAAATGACCTAATAATGCTATGAATATCATTCTTACCTGTAGCCAAGCCCCGCTAGCGGCTAACGGATGCGCGGGCGTGGCTATAGCGCCGGCCACAGAGGGCGGCACCAGCGTCACTGCTCGCTCTCCCTTCCGCCACGTGAAATGGCGACTATATCATCTGATAATGAACCCTGTATCTGCAGCCAACTGTTGCTATTGGAGACTATTATACTATATCGTACTTACCAGCCAAGTGCTACTAGCAGCTAAAGTCCAGTCGCGAAGCAGATAGAATTTCGTCCAATGACCCCAAGCTACCCATCCTTATCGCTCGCGTGTAATGTTGCTGTCGCGCTCGCACACTCACTGCGGCCGCCCGTCGCACAGTCGCGACAGCAATATAATTACGCGCGAGCGATAAGGATGGGTAGCTTGGGGTCAATGGACGAAATTCTACGTGCTCGGCGACCGGGCTTTAGAAACCGTCCTGCTCCTGCTTTGGAGACTAAAACACTCGATGATGGATACATGTAAATTAGAGAGGGTTGTTCTCCTGCAGGGGACTAAATGACCCGATGATGAACTTACCTGTAGCCAAGCCCCGCTAGCGGCTAGCGGACGCGCGGGTGTGGCTATAGCGCCGGCCACAGAGGGCGGCACCAGCGTCACTGCTCGCTCGCCCTCCCGCCACGTGAAATGGCGGCCGTGGGACACGCGGCCACTGCAAAAATAAAATAGAATTAGAAAATACTATAAAAGTGAGTGACTAGTAGCGTCACGTAACAAAACTTCAACGACAACAAAACACTAACCCCCTTACTAATAAAACTTACATGCTCGTTGATCAATGTTTTAAAGTGAAGTTTAGTATGGAAATGTCATTATAAAACAGTGATCAACAACTGTGTTTTTTTCAAAAAGTGACATTTTTTATTGTTTCTTGGCATTTTTTTTTTTAATTTATTTAAGGCATCAAACAGTCATGTATAGTTACAAGTTTTACATAAATATTAAGTTTTTACAATAGACCAAACAGTGCCTGTAATTGTACATTATTGTTAAAAATAAATAGTTCAACAGACGCGTATCAGTTTGCTAAACAAATATGTAAAAATACAGAAAGAAACAAGAGAACAGAAGAATAAAACAACAGTAATATAAAATTGTAATTTTTTTGTGTATTTTATGTATTTTTTTAGTATCGCCTGTTATTTGGCATTGCTACTGTTTTTGTTTTGTCAGGATGTATCGCTTGGTTTAAGGGTTATTGCGTTTTCTTTGCAAATGGGTAATTGGAGGAAAAAAAATTCTATAAGAAGTTGAAAAAAAATCTCAAAAATTTTTTGACCTCTTTTTTGTCGATAAAAGTGGGTCTGGTTTCATCTATTTTCGTGTGTGCGCTTTGGCTTGACTCACACTGTATTGATCCTATCCTTTAAAATTTCCGAAATTCCGATATTTCCTACATTTTCGTTTCCCTACCTTTGTCGTGGCAAATGCACAAGCCTTGCGAGCCAACAAAAAAAAAAGAACTGTGTAACTTTTTATTAGTAAGGGGGTAAGTTGCGATCCTATCGAGTAATCGTTCTATCAAAATGAGCCTTGTGAATACGGATTTAGAACTGTTTTTCAATTCTGAACGTCAGCGAGATCTTGACTGTCAAAATACGTGAATAAGGCCACAAAGCATTTCTATGTAATGTAACGTTCGTACATGTACGAATGGTAGAATACAGGTAAAATGTACGATTGGTTCGTGAAAAGGTGACACTACACTAGTACAAGCGGATGTTCTGTTACAAATAAATGCTCTAGCTAATACTCCCCTTAAGCTTTTAGGTTGCGATTAGGGCCTTAGGGTCACAAAGTAATGTAGATTTACTACTTCTAAGATTCTCTGGGGTAGGCACTGGACCATTCTAGAGTTCTGGGGTTGTAAATGTATGGAAACTGAAAACATAGAATTTTTCGATAGATCCAATTTATTCTGTAACCTATTATTGATACCGTTTGAAAGAACTTGTGAAGCACTTTCAGGATCAGTAACCAGTTTTTCGATATATTGTATACTTAGTTTAGAAATAATCGTGTGAGATCACTTATCGTTTCCACCCTGTATAAAAGTCTTCTTACAGAAAATAAATGGATTTAATTTTTAATTTAAGAACTCACTCTATAGCCAGCGGCAGCAAGCTAGCTCCTTCTGCGTTCATGACTATGTGGACTTCGTCGAAATATTCTACGAGCCCTTCACTGCGGGAGTCCTGGAATAATAAATATTAAAGGAATTACAAAAAGTGTAACATATTCAGTGTAACTGCTTGTGTGAGTGGCGGACGCCTATCGACTCGCCACTACAAACTGGCGGGTAGGTATAGTCTGGTCCGTGAGCACGTAGAATTTTGTCCAATGACCCCAAGCTACCCATCCTTATCGCTCGCGCGTAATTATGTTGCTGTCGCGCTCGCACACTCACTGCGGGCGCGCGTCGCACAGTCGCGACAGCAATATAATTACGCGCGAGCGATAAGGATGGGTAGCTTGGGGTCATTGGACAAAATTCTACGTGCACACAGACCGAGCTTTATCATCACTCAACAGATGGCGTTAATAGAAACTTAATAGCACCTGCATCGCGGTAGTAAAAATTTCTACCTTAGTAACTATTAGAAAACTAAGATGGTATACAAACCTTGGTGAAGAATGCATGGCAATATTAGCCCTACAGTATAGGCGTAGGTTAAAAATAGTATTTACCTGCATTAATTCTGGCACATGAGGCAGCGCTCTCTCAATGCTTGACATTTCGAAGCTATCTGTCGACATGTGACCTGTAAAAGGAAAAAAGAAATAGAGTCATTAATAAAGTACCTATGTCACTATTTTTTGTTGTGGGGACTTTTAATTACTTGTGGTAGGACCCCACGGAGTTTTAAAGGTTCTCTTGGGGTCCCCAGCAACCCCACTACGTTCAAAAGGTTCGCTTGGAGACCCCAATGACCCCATGGAGTTTAAAAGGTTCGCTTGGGGTCCCCAATGATCCCACTGCGTTCAAAAGGTTTGCTCGGGGTTCCCAATGACCCCACTGCGTTTAAAACATTCGCTTGAGGTTTCCAGTTACCCCACTGCGTTCAAAACGTTTGTTTGGTGTCCCCAATGACCCAATGGCGTTTAAAAGGTTGAACGGTTGAAGGTGAAAACGGGTATTACTCTACTGAATTACTTGTCTAAATGCTCCTAATGTCTAAATCCACTACACTCGCTATCGAAGTAACAGTATTTTTCCAGAGTACTATCAAACATTTACCTTTGGCCACCACGGCGTTCAAAATTTTCGCTTGGGGTCCCCACTAACCCATCTACGTTAAAAGGTTCGTTTGGGGTCTCCAAAGACTTCATTTCGTTCAAAATGTCTGCTTGGGGTGTCGCTGCAACGTGTTTTTTAGATTTTTATCGCATGGGGTCCCTAGTGACCCCACGGCGTTCAGATGGTCTGCTTGGGGTCCCTTGTAACCCCACTGCGTTCAATCGAGACCCCATGGCTTTCAAAATGTCAATAAATAAATACCTTCAGGTCCAGTCCGTTCTGAGCTCATGCTGCTAAGTCCTCGCTGCAGCGTGTCTTTAATATGTTGTTCGACACACGCCGGCAGCTCGGGCGGGCTGAGTTCTGTCTCAGTGTGGGTTTCCAGTTACCCCACTGCGTTCAACAGGTTTGCTTGGGGACCCTAGTGACCTCACTGCGTTAAAAAAAGTTCGCTTGGGGTTCTTAATGACCCCACAATGTTCATAATGTTAATCAACAATACCTTCAGGTCCAGTCCGTTCTGAGCTCATGCTGCTAAGTCCTCGCTGCAGTGTGTCTTTAATCTGTTGTTCGACACACGCCGGCAACTCGGGAGGGCTGGGCTCTGCTTCTGTGGGGGCCTGGAATTAATAAACAGTGTTTTAGTAAGGGTTCTACTTATGATCATTAGCAGCTTTTAGAATAAAATCAAATATGAGCAACAAAATAATCTCTGGGGTGTAAGCTTACCCCACCCACAGATGGAGGAGCTGGGGTGCAAGGTTACCCCACAGGTGGGTCGCTACTCGCTAGGGTGCTCGCTTACCCCAGAGAGAAAGAAGTTTAATTTAGGGGGGCTGGTGTAGGTACCTGGCGCGTCACATAGATGGTTGACCTCACAAATGGAGTCACAAATATAGCTGCCAGCCCAGCTATATTTGTGTAAAGCAGCGGTTCCCAAACTTATTTAGTCTACTGCCCACTTTGAGAATAAATTATTTTTTGCGCCCCCCATTTTTGTAGTCAAGAGTCGAGCTCAGTCGGTGTCTAAGAGTCCTCCTAGTAGATGACGCCTCCCAAGCCTCTACACAACGTCCCGATTTTTTTTTCTGGGTCTGTTACCGCCCCCCTTTAAGCCTGCAGTGCCCACAAGGGGGCGTTATCGCCCACTTTGGGAAAGACTGGTGTAAAGTATTATCGTCTAGGGGAGGCTGGGTATTCAAGCTTTGTTTAGGGTTGGCTGAGGTGTGTGGGGTATGGGGTTTCTGGGGGGTAAGTGGCTGGGTCTCCTCCGGAGACTAGAGGAGCTAGGGTGGAGGATGACTGAGGAGTATTTAGTGGGGGTATCTGATGTGCTACATACCCCTGCGACGACTGGTAGGGTAAAAAGATTATGAGTAGAGGCTCCTTAAGAGCAAAATGACGATTTGTAAGAACTATTTATTAGTCTAAACAAATAAAGAAGTTTTGACTTTGACTTTTACGGCAGCCTATTGGAATCTCGCAGATACGCCGGACACGCCGCGCGCAGTTACTCGCGTCACTAGCCACGACCCTGCGTCGCATCTAACACTAATGGGGTGCAAAGTTACCCCAGAGATAGGGAGGCTGAGGAGCAAGTTTACCCCACTAATGGGAGGCTGGGGTGCTAATTTACCCCACTGAGGGGGACTGGGGGAGGGCTGAGGTGCAAGGTCACCCCACCCACAGATGCTAGGGAGCATGGTTGCCCAACTGATGGGGATTGGGCGTTCTAGTTTCCCCTAGAGATGGGTTTGGGGTATCTAGGGGTAGCTGGGGTGTCAAAGGGGCAGCTGGGGATGTAAACTGACCTCAGAGACTGGGGTGTAAAGAAGCATTATTTAAGGCGGCTGGGGCGCGAATTTACCCCTAAGATGGAGGGGCTGGGGCGTTTTAGATCTATTTAGGAGGGAGGGTTGCAAACTTACCCCAGATATGGAGGATGGGGTGTAGTAAGAAGCTTTATTACGCAGGCAGGCTGGGTTTAGGTTGGGGTGTATACATACCCCACATACGGCGGCCCATTGCAACCTCGCCGAGACGCCAGCCAGCTGAGCAGGCGCGCCGGGTGCGAGCCGCACGCCGCGCGCCGAAACTCGGCGATTCACTCGCGTCACTAACCACGAGCCTGCGTCGCATCTGTTATAAATTATGGATAAATTATTTCATTTATGTCCATTAACGCCCCGTCAATAGGGAAATGTGCAAACTTCATCCACAAATCGCCATTCAGTACCTCTAAAGCCTGGTCCGTGAGCACGTAGAATCCCGTCCAATGACCCCAAGCTACCCATCCTTATCGCTCGCGCGTAATTATATTGCTGTCGCGACTGTGCGACGGGCGCCCGCAGTGAGTGTGCGAGCGCGACAGCAACATAATTACGTGCGAGCGACAAGGATGGGCAGCTTGGGGTCATTGGACAAAATTCTACGTGCTCACGGACCAGGCTTTAGCATGAACAACTTTCATCTTCGAATCGTTTGCGTATTCGACAAAATTCGATACTCAATCTTCGAATTAAACGATAACGTGACAATTTTGATCCTCAAAATAAGTTTCATGCAACCATTTCTCATACTAAGTTCACTTTACGACACGTTCACAAGGGCGCTGTTGTATTTTTCGTGCTAAATCTTTTGATGGCAATTCGAATACGCAAACGATTCGAACACGAAAGATTTTCGTGCTAGCCGTACAGTACTTTAATTCAGCTAACAATCCCCAAGTTGTCGCTTAAGAATATAAGGGTTAACCCTTGAAACCCTGTAAATCGAGAAATTGATGAATCAATGAGGGCTATCGTTTTTATACTTAACAGTTGGCACCCCTGGCGATTGACAGGACCTTACTCTACAGTGGCGCCATCTTGATGAGTGCAAATGCGATAGTCCTCCTACCACTTTCGCGCTCACCAGTTGGTGCCACTGTCTTCGCTACTAGCAAGTGACAGGACCTTACTCTACAGTGGCGCTAACTGGTGAGCGCTAAAACGATAGCCCTCATTGTAACGCGGTCATATTATGACCATTTGGGGATTGATGGTTTCTCGTACTACTGGTACTACGAACTCAATTGTGAACTTATGCAAATACCCATTAGAGTTGGCAATGGCAATTTGCTGAGCAAAATTTCACAAACTCCCCATTGATGGGGATAAAATGGAATCCAAATAAAGAGAACCACGCATTTCAGTAATTATTAAAAAAAATACGAAGCATAAATAAAAAAAATTAAAAAACAAATTATTGTAACAAGCCATTGGTACCTCGGGTCTTCACTGATAAGCTTCAAAACGTCGAAACCGGACCCTCTTTGCGCTGCCCTCAGTTCCCTGCCAGTGCAACCCACTAACTGAAACCAAGCAATGTGGAAACTTTACTGATTTCTTTCCTATTTTTTGTGTGATTATTTGTCTGTATATCAAAATTGTTTGTTTCCCTAATATAAATAAATTACATTTTAGCGAAAAATATTATAATTACACTTATTCGGGGACTAGGGGGTGTCTTGGGGGGTAGGGGTGTCTTGAAGGGCCAGGCGACTTGGAGGGCTATAGGGTTGTCTTGGGGTTAGGGGGTGTCTTGGGGAGACAAAGGGGCTGGCCGGCGTCTCGGGGGCTAGACGAGTCTCTTAGTGGCTAGACAGTGTCTCGGGGACTAGAGGTATCTTGAGGGCTAAGTAGGTGCATTGGGGGCTAAGGATGTGTCTTGGAGGACTAGGGTCTGTATTGGAGGGAGGACAAGGGGGTGTTATTGGGACGTCNATTTGTACATACATACCCCACATACGGCGGCCCATTGCAATCTCGCCGAGACTCCGGCCAGCTGAGCAGGCGCGCCCGGTGCCAGCCGCACGCCGCGCGCAGAAACGCGGCGATTCACTCGCGTCACTAACCACGAGCCTGCGTCACATCTGACAGGGAATAAACACGCGATTTTTACAAGTTCGTTCGTTTCAGCCGAAAGACGGCCGTTTGGTGTAGTGGTTCGAAACGGACTACTATTCCGGAGGTAGCGGGTTCGATTCCCGCACAGTACAAACATTTGTGTGCATGAACATATTTGTTTGTATTGGACTGGGTGTTTTCTGTGTATAATAAGTATGTATTTACAAAAAAAATATTGAAGTATGTTTATTTATTTATTTTATTTTATTTAAAGACTTTATTGCACACACAACAATGTTCTGTACAAAAAGGCGAGCTTAATGCCATACGTTTATACCCGTTGCCTAGTACCCATAGTACAAGCTTTGCTTAGTTTGGGACTAGAAGCGCAGTGTAAAATGTCCAAGGATATTTATTATTATTATTAGACGTCCACTGCTGGACAAAGGCCTCCCCCAAGGATTTCCACAAAGACCGATCCTGCGCTCGCATCCAGGCACCTCCCGCGACCTTCACCAGATCGTCGGTCCACCTAGTGGCTCGACAAGTTTTACAAGGCAATGACTAAATGCTTAGTAAATCCCAACTAATATTATAAATGCGAAAGTAACTCTGTCTGTCTGTCTGTCTGTCTGTCTGTTACGCTTTCCCGCTTAAACCTCGCAACCGATTTTGATGAAATTTGGCATAGAGATAGTTTGAGTCCCGGGAAAGAACATAGGATAATTTTTATCCCGGTTTTTGAAACAGGGACGCGCGCGATAAAGTTTTTCTGTGACAGACAAAATACCACGCGGGCGAAGCCGCGGGCGGAAAGCTAGTACGGAACTAAAAATACTTTTACATGTTTCATGTTTATTTCTAACCCAATAGTAGGTACTTCATGACAAAGCTGCCGTCATCATTTTAGCCACATGACGTCCACTGCTGAATATAGACCTTCTCTAATGATTTCCGATGAACCAGTTGGCAACGGGCTGCATCCAGCGCCTTCCTGCTACATTTATGAGACGGCCGATGGGGCAGCAAGGTTTTGAAGTGGAAGCCACGTACACGCAAGCGCAACGTCCACCCACAAGGTGGACCGATGACATAAAGGTAGCAGGAAGGCGCTGGACGCAGGCCGCTACCAACCGGGCAACATGGAAAGCATTGGGGGAGGCCTATGTTCAGCAGTGGACGTCCTGGCTGAGATGATGATGATGATGAATATTGATTTTGCGCCATAATCCTAGCCCGTCATGTTACAAAAAATAATTTTAAAACGTTACCTCGGGTCTTCACTAATGAGTTTTAAAACGTCGAAGCCGGATCCTCTTTGCGCTGCCCTCAGCTCCCTGCCAGTGCAACCCACTAACTGAAAAAAATAAATTATAATTACACTTATTCGGGGGCTAGGGGGTGTCTCAGGGGCTAGGGGGTGTTTTAGGGGGTAGGGGTGTCTTGAAGGGTTGGGGTTTTGGAGGGCTATAGGGTTGTCTTGGGGTTAGGAGGTGTCTTGAAGAAACTATAGGGGTGTTTTGGGGGCTGGACGGTGTCTTGGAGGGCTAGGGTGTGTATTGGCGGGGACAAGAGGGTGTTATTGGGACGTCTTGAGGGGGGTAATGGAGTGTCTTTGATGTGATATGATTTCTTCGGGGCTAGGGCTATGGGGTGTTGCCTTGGGGGTTAAGGGAACTATTAGGGAAACAAGGGGGGTGTTTTGGGGGCTAAGGGCGTCTTGGGAGTGTCTTATGGGTTAGGGGGGTGGTCTTAAGGGCTAGAGGGGTCTTGGGGGGCTGTCAGGTCTAGTAGTTTCTCGGGGGCTAGACGGTGTCTCGGGGGCTAGTCTGCCACTGACTTGCAGGAACTGGTCTAGGTGTAGGTCTAGGGGATGCTTTGGGGGTTAGGGGGTGTCTCGGTGGTTAAGGGAGTTGTCTCTGGGCCTAAAGGGGCTAGCCGGTGTCTATGCCATAGTACAAGCTTTGCTTAGTTTGGGACTACAAGCGCAGTGTAAAATGTCCAAGGATATTTATTATTATTTATTACTTATGCCACTGACCTGTAGGAACTGGACGGCTCCATGCGGCGTGCGCGCTGGCGCCAGCTGTGGGTCGCTGCTCACCAGCAAGTGTCGCACGCGGGACTAGACGGTGTCTCGAGGGTGTCTTGAGAGACTAGAGGGTGTCTCGTGAGCTAGGGGGACTAGGGGGTATCTTGGGGGGGCAGTCAAGCCAAGAGACGTGTCTTGGTGGGACTAAGGGGCGTCTTGGAGGGACTAGGGTGGTGTCTTGGGGAGACTAGGGGGTGTCTTGAGGGTTAGGGGGTGCCTTAGGGAGTTGCTTGGGTGCCACTGACCTGTAGGAACTGGACGGCTCCATGCGACGTACGCGCGGGCGCCAACTGCGGGTCGCTGCTGACGAGCAAGTGTCGCACGCGTGACGCCGCGCGCGGGTCAAGCGGCGCGTGCCAGGATATGTGGTCGCCGGCGCAGAATTTGTTATCTGGAACGTAGAGATTACATTACACTATAATCCAGGCCTTTTAATAAAAAAATACATGTTTTTATTCAATTTTGATAAGGCACCTAAGAACGGCAAAAATCGTAATCATGGATAGGATGGGTGGCGGAATTTGGCCTGGGGGGCCCTTGGGTGGCAAGGGGGTATCTTAAGGGAGGGCTCAATTAGGCCTAAGAGCGTCTTGGGGGCTAAAGGGATTTTCTTTGGGGGCTAGGAGGGTATCTTTGAGAGGGCGAAGGGGGTGCCTTGGGGGCTAGGGGGTGCCTTGGGGGCTAGGGGGTATCTTGGGGGGCTAGAGGGTGTCTTGAGGGGATAGAGGGTGTCGTTGGGGGACTAGGGAGGTGTCTTGGCAGCTAAGGAGTGTCTTAGGGGGGCTAAGAGGGTGTCTTGGGGGCTAAGGAGGGGTGTCTTAGGGGCTAGGGGGGTTTCCTGGGTGTTCAGGGGGTTTTCTTTGGGGGCTAGATAAGTGTTTTGGGGATAGTTAGGGTGTCCTGTTGAGAGGCTAGGGAGCATTCTGACTTACTATAAGTGAACATGTATCTAGCCGTAGCCTGTAGCAGCGCAGCGGGCCATAGCGGAGGCGATGAATGTCCGACGGCGTGCAACCGGAACGTCAGCTCTAAACCGAGGCCTGAGGACCGATGACCCGTCGCTACGAAGACACCCAGAGGCGCCGGGTTCCATTCCCAGTGGGGGCATTGTTTCGCTCGCTTATGAGGTAGATATAGGGAGTGTCTTGGGCGGAGGCAGTCTTGCCTAGTGGGGGTGTCGTGGTGGGGCTAGGGGGGGCTAGTGTCTTGGAAGGTTAGGGGGAGTCTTGGGGGCTATGGGGGTGTCTTAGTGGAGCTAGGGGGGTCTTAGAGGAGCTAGGGGGTGTCTTCGGATCTAAGGGGGTGTCTTAGGCCTGTAGCAGCGCAGCGGGCCATAGCGGAGGCGATGAATGTCCGACGGCGTGCAACCGGAACGTCAGCTCTAAACCGAGGCCTGAGGACCGATGACCCGTCGCTACGAGGACACCCAGCGACGCCGGGTTCCATTCACAGTGAGGGCAGTGTTTCGCCCGGGTTCCATTCCCAGTGTTTCGCTCGCTTGTGAGGTAAATATAGGGAGCGCAGTGCTGGTATCTTGGGGGGCTAGGGGGTATCTTGGGGGTTAGAGGGGTTCCTTGGGGGTTAGAGGGGTCTCTTGGGGGTAAGAGGGGTTTCTTGAAGGTTAGAGGGGTCTCTTGGGGGCTAGAGGGGTTTCTTGGGGGTTAAGTGGGTTTTCTTTGGGGACTAGAGGGGTTTCTTGGGGGCTAGAGGGGTTTCTTAGGTGTTCAGGGGGTTTTCTTTGGGGGCTAGGGGGTATCTTGGGGTTTAAGGGGGTGTCTCGCCTAAGGGATGATCTGGGTGCAGCTTATACTCACTATACGTAAACATGTATCTAGCAGTCGCCTGCAGTAACGCAGCGGGCCATAGCGGAGGCGATGAATGTCCATCGGCGTGCAACCGAAACGTCAGTTCCAGACCGAGGCCTGATGACCCATCGCGTGACGGCGGATGAACCCGTCCGTCTCCGTGGAGGTCGGATATGCCGAAGCTGGGGACAATGCAGCGATAAATCATATAACATAAACCAGTGGTTCTTAACCTTAAGTCATGAGGGACCATTTTACCAAATTTCTGTCTTGTCAGGGACCACTTTTTTTTCAAAATCCTATGAAAGAGGAGGTTGATTTCTCGCCCACTGTGCGCCGTTTGCGTTGTGTTGACTCGACTCATCACGTCACGTCACTTGTTTATTACGATGTCTTCGTGGACCACTTGGAATACCTCCAGGGACCACCAGTGTCCGCGGACCACCGGTTAAGAACCACTGACATAGACGTTAAAAAAGCGGAAACAATTTTAGTTAAATAAAAAACCGCGTCCAAATCGATTTACCCGTTTAAGAGTCTCGATACGGTACTCTGTTGAACAGTCAGCAAGCAGCACTTAGGCCCAGAACACACGGTGAAACGCAGTTTGAAACCGGTTTGAAATGGTCGCGTCATGTGTGGTCTCTCAACGGAATCTATGGCAGAAACTTAGATGCAACTCAAAAGTAACTAGAAGTTGCAGTTTCGTTGCAATTGTGTTTCACCGTGTGTTCTGGGCCTTAATGTACGGACAGCTTGACGTATTGATGTTGTGTAATAAAGTTTTCAATATTATGTAAAAAAATAGATAAATAAAAAAGCGACATCCCAGTCTTGGAACAGCTAAAAAATTACTCCCTTACTAAAAAGTTACACAGTTGTTGAACACCGTTTTAAAATGACATTTCCATACTAAACGTCACTTTATAACACTGTTTAGAGTAGGCGCACACAGTTGATTTTTAGTTGGCCGATAGTTGTGATTTTAAATTGTATGAAGAATCAGCCAAATCGAATCGGTGTAGTGTGCACACTCCCATACATGCCCATACTGATCAACAGCCCGACTAAACTATCGGCCGACGAAAAATCAACGGTGTGCGCCTACTCTTAACGAGCGTGTAAGTTTTATTAGTAAGGGGGTTAGACATCCCATCGAACATTCAGCAGTTTGATCAATGAATGAATATTTTCTTTGGCTCACCTGACGTAATGCCAGTGTGGAGGTATGTTCTCTTCCGGTTTGCCGGGGTTCCAGTACATACTGATGTAGTCCAGAGGGTCATGGCCGCCTAACCTGAAAAATTAGAATTAAATTTTAAAAAAATCTGAATTTAAGTAGCAAACTTAATCTAAAGCAGAGTTGCACCAACTTAATTTAACCATAACTATTGTTGCCGANAGCGGGCCATAGCGGAGGCGATGAATGTCCATCGGCGTGCAACCGGAACGTCAGTTCCAGACCGAGGCCTGAGGAGCGATGACCCGTCGCTACGAAGATATCTAGAGGCGCCGGGTTCCATTCCCAGTGGGGGCAGTGTTTCGCTCGCTTATGAGGTAGCTATAGGGAGTGTCTTAGGAGGAAGGGGAGGGGGGAGCGTAGTCTTGCCTAGTGGGGGTGTCATGGTAAGGCTAGTATCTTTGGGGGCTAGGAGGTATCTTGAGAGGTCTAGAGGGGATGTTTTGGGGCTAGGTGTGGTGTCTTGATGGCTAAGTAGGGGTGTCTTGAGGGCTAAGTAGGGGTGTCTTGGGGGTGCCTTTGAGGGCTAGGGGGGATATCTTGGTGGCTAAGGGGGTGTTTTGGGAGCGCAGTCTCGCCTTAGGGATGCTCTGGGGGCAGCTTATACTCACTATACGTAAACATGTATCTAGCAGTCGCCTGCAATAACGCAGCGGGCCATAGCAGAGGCGATGAATGTCCATCGGCGTGCAACCGGAATGTCAGCTCCAGACCGAGACCTGATGAACCGTCGCTACGAAGACACCCAGCGGCGCCGGGTTCCATTCCCAGTGGGGGCAGCGTTTTGCTCACTTATGAGGTAGATATAGGGAGTGTCTTGGGGTGGGGGGCGCAGTGGGGTGGGGGGCGCAGTCTTGCCTAGTGGGGGTGTCGTGGTGGGGCTAGGGGGGGCTTGTATCTTGGGGGCTAGGGGGTGTCTTAGCAGCTAGGGGGTGTCTTGGCAGCTGTGGGATGTCTTGAGGTCTAAAGGGGTGTCTTAAGGGAGCCAGGGGTGTCTTAGGGGGCTAGGGGGTGTCTTAGGGGGGCTAGGGGGTGTCTTAAGGGGTCTAGGGGGCATCTTGGAGAGGGGGGGTCTCTTGGGGTCTAAGGGGGTGACTTAGAAGGGCTAGGGAAGTCCTAGGGGCTAAGGGGTGTCTCAAGGGGGCTAGGGGGGTGTCTTAGGGCTAGGGGGGTGTCTTGGGGGCTAGAAAGAGTGTCTTGTTGAGAGGCTAGGGAGCATTCTGACTTACTATACGTAAACATGTATCTAGCAGTCGCCTGCAGTAACGCAGCGGGCCATAGCGGAGGCGATGAATGTCCATCGGCGTGCAACCGAAACGTCAGTTCTAGACCGAGGCCTGATGACCCGTCGCGGGACGGCGGATGAACCCGTCCGTCTCCGTGGAGGTCGGATATGCCGAAACTGGGGACAATACAAGCGATAAATGAAAAAAATAAACTCATAAAAGTATTTTTTTCTCTGCAAATAGTACTTTGACAAAGAGTAAAAGGGCTGAACCAATTTTAATTAAAAAACCGTGTCCAAACCTGTTTACTCGTGGTACGGTGCTCTGTTGTACAGTCATCAGACTACACATTTTTGTTTCAAAATAGCACATTTATACGGACACGGTTCAATAATTAATATAATAATGTAAAAAAATAGATAAAAAAAAGCGGCATGCCAGCCTCTTTTTTATTTGGAACAGCTAAAAATTTGACATCCCATCAAACATTCTGCAGTTTGATCAATGAATGAATATTTTCTTTGTCTTACCTGACGTAATGCCAGTGTGGAGGTATGTTCTCTTCCGGTTTGCCGGGGTTCCAGTACATACTGATGTAGTCTAGAGGATCATGGCCGCCTAACCTGAAAAATTAGAATGAAATTTAAAAAAATCTGAATTTAAGTAGTTACTCGTAGCTATCATAGAAAAATTAAATCTAAGGCTGGGTTGCACCAACTCAATTTAACCATAACTATAATAATAATCGGTGCTTATTGTATGAAGTTTGGCAGATTTGTGACGTTTGTTAAAGTTAAAGTAAGATGGTGCAACTCAGCCTTAAAGTTGTGAGGATTTCCAGAAGTCTGTATTCTTGAAGATTGAACTTAGATATCCAAAAAAAACATTAGTTACCATTGAGAGCTCATCAGACTGTAGCCAAAATAGCTATTGTACCTCAGTTATTAGCTTAATCTGTACGTACCAATATTTCAGCCTAGTCGTAACCTGCAAGGGGTTTGGCTGATCAGGATAGAGTCTGGAGTACACCTCACATAGGGCTTTAAGGCCGGCAGGCATTGGCATTCTGTCTGAAAAAAATTATGTTTACGTTAGTTACGTAAACATTCATAAAAACTTTTTAACCGGTGGAATCCTAAGCGGTCACATAAGACCACGGTAACAATGAGGGCTATCGTTTTTATACTTAACAGTTGGCACCACTGGCGATTGACAGAACCTTACTCTACAGTGGCGCCATCTTGATGAGTGCAAATGCGATAGTCCTTCTACCACTTTAGCGCTCACCAGTTGGTGCCACTGTCTTCGCTACTAGCAAGTGACAGGGCCTTACTCTACAGTGGCGCTAACTGGTGAGCGCTAAAACGATAGCCCTCATTGATTTCTGTTGTGGCTCGATTTTCAGATAGGTATTTGAAGGGTGAAAGTATGTAGACCCTTTTTCACATTCCAAATATATCTTATGCTACTACTGGGTGCTGAGACGAAGTGACAAAAAAAGTGTAACCTTTTTCTGTCACTGTGGTTGGGTATTGTAACACTAATTGTTGCGGAACTTCTCTGAAATTACTTATTGACTTGATTAGATCATTTCTATCCTTTATGAAAACCATGCTGTAACTTTCGAATCCAAGTTATTTATTCTTTTCTTTTGAACATCCTCGCTCAAATTAAAACTACGATTTTAATGATCGTTTTTAGAAAGTATCTTACCAGTCTGCCCCATTTGGTCCCTAGACGTGTCCTGCATACATTCGTCCTGCGTATGCGCAGCCTGCGGTTGTTGGGCGTCTACGAAGGCTAGCGCGCTGTTTCGCACCACACCAGAAGGGCTGGAAGGCCCAGCGCCAGACATGGACATTATTCAAGGTTTAAATTAAATTATTTGGCGTTTTTTGGGCCGAAATTCCTTTGTTTGGTCCGGAACTGTTTGGTGGAAATTCCAACCTTTTTGAACATTTGACAGATGACAGCTACAGCTTGTTTCTGAACGAAAATGCTTGAGACGAGCGTGTTCCACTTATTCATTTTGTCAAAATGGGCACCAAAGTTCCGCTTGATGTGTGATGGATGATGAGAGATATTTGCGCCGATAAATTAGTAATAGAAGACTACAGTTTAACATTTTGTATTCTATTGTATTCACTTGAGCACTCAATAGCTTTTACAGGTACCGTTTCAGTCTTTTTCTATTTTCTAATGCTTTATCTTCGTTTGTGCGAAAACATGGTAGCAAAAGAACGCCACCTACTTCGACCTGTCAAAGATTTCCGAACGTACACTGTTCTGTCATTAGTGTCATATCATCGAACATCCGCTGCCGTCCGTATCTCTCGTTTATTTATTTTTTCGAATAATTCGCGGCCCTTTCTCGATTTACTCTATTTATAAACACAAACACTTCTTACACAGTCTATAAATAACATTCAGAGTGTTGCTTGGATCAGTGCTCAAGTATTTGGTGTATAAAAACGTTTTAAAGTTACGATGCGGTATTTCTTTTTGCTCTCGATTTTCAGTGTTGTGTTTGGGTATGAAAAAGATATAACGTTTACAGTCCAACCTGGGACAACTGATTGTTTTTACCAGAAGGTTACTCCGAACGAAGTTATCGATATAGAATACCAGGTAATTTTCAAATATTGACTGAATAATTTATAAGTTTTTAACCTTGTAGGTATTCTATTTATAATGATATCTATTGTATTTTATATTTAAAATGACACCGTGCAACTTAATTTATTTAAAGAACATTAGGATATGTTCTAAAAGTAAACAAAATTATAGTTAGGATCTGAAGTTGATTCTAAGTCTAGTAAATGACTATAAATTATTGATTCAAGTTAATAATATACAAGTATGTTTAATCAATAATAACAAAGAATGTTTTAGCAAGGTATAGGGCAGAGTTGTGTGATATTGTTCTGTATTTTACCTATTCTAATTTCTTTGTAAGTGTGAACAAAAAAATTTTTATTTTGTTTGTGTGTACTAATAATAACTTACTTTTGAATTAAATAATAGATCAAGACCTATGATTATGTTAGAGCAGGGGTCTCCTTCAAAGTTTGGAGACCCCTGTGTTAGAGCAACCATTAGCTAATTTTTTTATCAGGAACCAGGTATGAAATACCCTTATCAGTGTAGTTTTTTAACCTCCGTTAACTTTATCTTGAAGATAAAGTTGTTGAATAACAGAACTATGAAAGCGTTTGATTACACACGTTGGATCGTAAAAATATTAATTGAATTCGGTTATAATTGGCTGTGGTTTTGTTTTATTGATGTTAAAATAATTACATGAATCGTATACCTCAAACACTGACTCATTTAAGCGTTAGAGCTATGACTTGATGATGATGTCCTAAATAAAGAACATATCCCTTCCAGGTAATTGACAACCTATGACTTGATGATGTCCTAAATAAAGAACACATTTCCTTCCAGGTAGTCGACGACCTATGACTTGATGATGATGTCCTTAATAAAGAACATATTCCTTCCAGGTAGTCTACGACCTATGACTTGATGATGATGTCCTAAATAAAGAACACATTTCCTTCTAGGTAGTCGACGATCTATGACTTGATGATGAATGTCCTAAATAAAGAACACATTTCCTTCCAGGTAGTCGTCGACCTATGACTTGATGATGGATGTCCTTAATAAAGAACATATACCTTCCAGGTAGTCGACGACCTATGACTTGATGATGTCCTAAATCAGTGGCTCTTAACCTTTTAGTCATGAGGGACCATTTTACCAAATTTCTGTCTTGTCAGGGACCACCTCATAATCATAATTGGTCAAAAGTAAACCAGTTTGACTGCAAAAATCAGTTAAAAGTGGTTTTGACTAAGGCGTGCAAGTGCACTTCGTGGACGACTTGGAATGCCTCCAGGGACCACCAGTTAAGAACCACTGTCCTAAATAAAGAACACATTTTCCAGGTAATCGACGCGTCCCACGGCGAGCTAGACGTATCGTTTCAAATGTCGGACCCGGTGGGACGGATCATAGTGGCGGACTATAAGAAACCCGAGAACGCTCACAGGTAGTGTTGAAAATGACTAAAGCCTGGTCTGCGAACACGTAGAATTTTGTCCAATGACCCCAAGCTACCCATCCTTATCTCGCGCGTAATTATATTGCTGTCGCGACTGTGCGACGGGCGCCCGCAGTGAGTGTGCGAGCGCGACAGCATAGATCCAACAACAGATTGAACAATTTTGTCCAATGACAAAATTCTACGACAGCACGTAGAATTTTGTCATTGGACAAAATTATACGTACTCACGGACCAGGCTTTAGTGTTGAAAATGACTTAAGCCTGAATTTACGGTCAAATTGGTCATAAACTGTCAAAAACGGTCAATTTCGGTCAAGTTTTAAGATTTTTCTTAGATTTTGTGATTGATAAAAGTCAATAACGTCATCTATCTATAGATACATACAAATAACAATGAATTGATGTTCGTTAGTCTGATTAAAACTCGAGAACGGCTGGGCCGATTGAGCTGATTTTGGTTTTAAAATGTTTGTCGTAGTCCAGGGTAGGTCTAAACGGTGAGCAAATACGCGCGCGATATTGTTTTTCTGTGTACAGACAAAATTCAACGCGGGCGAAGCCGCGGGCGGAAAGCTAGTTTGAAATAAAAAAATGCTATCTTCAAAGTAGTGACCGNAAAATACAACCGTGATTTTTTTTGAAAATTATTATTTAATTAAAATGAATTGGAAATGTGCTACTTACGGATAAAACATGATCCCATGCACTTTCTTCGTAATTCCAGTAGCATTCTTACATGTTGGAACGGCACAAGACGGCATAATTTAATTATAAAGTGTCAATCTGACGGATATGTAAACAATGCGCGCGCCGGCCATTGACTAATTGCTCTAAAGTCAAATTAGTGCGATTCGGAGTAATTTATATGAATACACATTTACGCCCGTTGACGGTTTCTGGTTTGTTCCGTATTCTGAGTGGGCACCAAAGTTCCGCTCGACGCGATGGGTGATGATGATGAGAGGTATTTGCGCTGGTAAATTAATAAATAAATAGCTAAAGTTCAACATTTTGTACTCTAATTTATTCACTTGAACACGGTAGCTTTTAAAGGTACCGTTTTACAATTTTTCTAGGTTTGTGCGAATACATACTAGCAAAAGAACACCATCTACTTAGTCAAACTGTCAGTAATTTCCGAACGTACCCTGTTCTGTCATTAGTGTCATATCATCGAACATCCGCTGCCGTCCGTCCGTATCTCTCGTTTATTTATTTTGCAGTGGCGTAGCGTGGCTTTTCGCCGCCCGGGGCCGTCCGGAAATCCGCCGCCCTTTATTTTAATTATAAATATTTTAAAGTTTTAATATTATATCGAATGGACTTCTTCACCTTATTTGTTGAAAGTCAAAATAAACTACCACGCACTGCTTCAGAAGGAAAATACATTAAAGAGAAGCAATTGCTTGAAACCCACAGGAAGTTTGATTTTCTTAAATAGCTCAGCTTTATTATGTAACACTAGGTGTATAACAATAAACAATAATAACAAGTATTAAAGTATCTAATTTTCAATAAAATTGAGAGTAAATATTATCTTAAATTATACACAGTGTGAGTCACGTTAAAGTGTACATATGAAAATAGATTAAACTAGACCTATTTTTATCGACAAAAAAGAGGTCAATTTTTTTGAGATTTTTTTTTCCAATTACTTATTTTAAGAAATCGTAATAACTTTTAAAGTAAGCGTTATACCTATCCTGATAAAATAAAAACAGTAATAATGCTAAATAATAGGCGATACTAAAAAAATACATAAAATACACAAAAAATGCCAACAAATAATAAAAAATGTCACTTTTTGAAAAAAAAACTGCTTTTAAATTCGTGTTTTTTTGGTTATTTGATTAATTTCTCCAAAAATGCCCCTATAACAGGTGGTTTTTATTACTTTGTATTATTTTCTATCGTATTATCTTTGTAAAACCAAAAATGTCTCTATCCCTATCACAACATTTGCTATGATCGTTGGATCAATCATCCAGTCATCTTCAAGTTTGGAGTCAATATTATTTTAATAATCCCACAGAACCGGACTTCGTAAGCTCTTTTTTACAGTCTGAATTTGTTGCAGAAAAAGCGCGGGAAACGGCGAACTGAGTAGGCGTCTTTTTTTGGCTTTTGTAAAATTAATTTGAATTAAGGATCAAATAAGTGGTGTATTGTATATATTTTGTTACTTTTTATCTGTATTTACGTAGTTTTTGTGTAATTTCATCAGTTATTCGGTAAGTCATTGCATTTTGATTTTTTCGTGATGTGTGAACCTGACGACCCTGGGGGAGGCGTAGTCCCCCAGGCGTCCAATTTTGTTACGATTTCTAATAATTTAACCGATATGGAAACCGATGGATCATTATTTGACACGGATGGGTCTGGAAAGAATGTAAATTCAAAGAATAAACGTAAACGTTCCTCTGTGCAAAAAGTTTGTAAACACTGCAACAAAAAACGGAGAAGGAATCNCATTTCCTTCCAGGTGTCAACGACCTATGACTTGATGATGTCCTAAATAAAGAACACATTCCTTTCCAGGTAGTCGACGACCTATGACTTGATGATGGATGTCCTTAATAAAGAACATATACCTTCCAGGTAGTCGACGACCTATGACTTGATGATTTTGTCCTAAATAAAGAACACATTTTCCAGGTAATCGACGCGTCCCACGGCGAGCTAGACGTGTCGTTTCAAATGTCGGACCCGGTCGGACGGATCATAGTGGCGGACTACAAGAAACCAGAGAACGCTCACAGGTAGTGTTTAAAATGATTAAACGTCATAGTATACTTCTTCTTCTTGTCGTGTCGACAACAAACCTACACAGCGTCAGCCCAAAACTCCGCCACAAGAGTGGCGTTGTCAGTAGCCTTCATTAAATCTTCCTGCGTGTTGTTTGGGCACGCAGGGCACGACATCATGTGCTTCGTCGACTGGAGAACAAAACCACACCTGCACTCCCAGTTTGGTTTGAGCCATCCAAGAATCCCCACCTGAACAGATTGTCCTTACTACGGCCGACCTGCGTCCGAAGTGTACATATTTAAAGACTTCCAGGTAGGCCAGGGGAGCTCATGTCCAGGTGGAGGACTCTCAGACACAGCGACAAAAGGGCAGTATAGTTAGTACCTACACTTATCAACCCGGAAAGGGATCAAACACCGTATCGCCTTTCGCAGCAAGGCGAGGCGTTTACGTTACGGTGCGGATAAGTGTGCATTGCTGTACAGAGTTTTATACAAAGAATACAGACCGCCTCGAGTTGATACGGTTACGATCCGTTTCCAGGTTGATAAGTGTGCTTCGTCCTTAAAGCGGCTGAATTTGACTGACCATCATTTACGGTCAGTCAAATTCAATTAGCTCAATTTGTTGTCCCAAATAAAGAGAAAAAAAAATGGTCAAAAACGGTTAAAAACTAGTCAAACTGTCAAAAACGGTCAATTTCGGTCAATTTTTAAGTTTTTTCTTAGATTTTGTGATAGATCAATAACGTCTTAATTGAAATATAAAAAAGTGGTTTGTAATGATTTAAGAGTAGGCGCACACCGTTGATTTTTAGTTGGCCGATAGTTGTGCCCGATTTTAATTTGTATGAAGAATCGGCCAAATCGAATCGGCGTAGTGTGCGCACTCCCATACATGCCCATACTGATCAACTGCCCGACTAAACTATCGGCCGACGAAAAATCAACGGTGTGCGCCTACTCTAAGCGTTACAGCTAGTTTCATATAAATTGGATACGATACATAGGTAAATTAATAAATTATTCCTTGGTAGGTAGTACATTAATATTTGAGTCAAATTGACTGAATTTGACAGTAAATGACCGGTCATTTATGGTTTTTGACCATCGTGAGCGGTCAGATTCAGTCAATTTACATCTCTGCTTTCAGACACACGGCGGCCTTGGAGGGCGACTACCGGTTCTGCTTCGATAACACGTTCAGCACCTTTAGTACTAAGACGGTAAGTTTTTTCGGAAGGACTATTGGCACTGGTAGCCATGGGTGTAGTACCCCTGGATGTCGCTTTGAAGGAGCTAAGTCAAACTGTCTGACCTAAAAAAATATGTTTTGCAGCATATTCAGCTTACCACGAGGGGTTAACAGGGGGCTTATTATTCTTTTAAAATTTAAAACAAACAAGTCTATACAAATAAAGAATTTTTGAGTGAAGAGTTTTTATAAGATCCATTGCTTTAGATTAGAATTAAACACACGACCATCGCAATCGCTTGCTAAGCGACTGCTCTGTTCGCTGAGCTAAGCGCGTCTAGCAGAGTCTAGCTAGACAAGTCACAAAAGGTGACAGACAGTCGTAATTTCGAAATCGCTTCGTTCCGGCGTTTTTATAATTGGAATTACTTCGCTCTATGAAGCGATTTCGAAGTTAAAACGGACACTTTTGTAGCTTCTCTAGAGGTAAAAGCCGAACGTCCACCGCCGCCTAAACTTAGTTTAGCTTAGCTCGCATAGTTGAGCCAGTTTTTCATACATGTGCGTCCACCGCAAACTATGCCACATGTATGAAAAACTGGCTCAACTATGCGAGCTTAACTAAACTAAATTAGTTTAGCCGGCGGTGGACGTCCGGTTAAAACACTTCTTTCTTTGAAGGTGTTCTTCGATCTACTCATAATGTTGGAGACAGACGATGCTCACGATAAGGACTACGACGACGACAAGGAAATGGAACTTGGTGAGTTAACTACTGACATTATCAATACATATTATTTCATACTAGCGGCCGCCCGCGGCTTCGTACGCGTGGATCCCGTTTTACCCCCTTAGGAGTGGAGTTTCGTAAAATCCTTTCTTAGCGGATGCCTACGTCATAACATCTACCTGCATGCCAAATTTCAGGCCGATCCGTCCAGTGGTTTGGGCTGTGCGTTGATAGATCACTATGTCAGTCTAACCTTTGGAGTTATGAAATATTTAGATTTAGATTTACAAGCTTTATGCAATCTGCAATGTTTGAAACCCTAACGCCCTTTTTCACCATCAATCCCTAATTTTTAAGTGACCTCTATGGTAATACATAACAGGAGTTTTGTTTTCATATGGGTCACTTAAAAATTTGGGATTGATGAAAAGGGGCATAACTCCAATAAACAAGTCCATCTCCTACCCAGGCAACGCAGCAGAATCCTACATGATGCGTGTCCGGGACATATCAGACTCCGTCACGCGCGTCAAGGACAACGTATCAGCTGCCAGACGTTTGCAAGAGTTACACTCTGCTCACGAAGCGAGGGACAGGAATTTGGCGGAAGAAATGTGTGCCAGGTGAGTTATCATTCATCATCATTTCAGCCACGAAATTCTGATCGACCAGCAGATCAAGCGCCGCAAGTGGAACTGGATTGGCCACACTCTCCGAAGGGATCCCGATCACATCCCCAAGCAGGCTCTGGATTGGAACCCCCAAGGAAAACGCAAACGTGGTCGCCCCAAGCAAACTTGGCAGCGCACTGTGGCAGACGAGGCGAAGAAAACGGTAAGACCTGGAGCGAGATCAAACGCGAAGCTCAAGACCGAACGTGATGGAGGACTTTTGTGGACGCCCTCTGCCCCATCTAGAGGACATAGGACCTTAACGCCCCGTATTGACAAACGATGCTTGCTAAAGTGAAACAGCAAATCGAACGCACAGCGTTGAATAGAGCTCTGTGAATGCCGTGTGCCACTCTGTGCGTTCTGTGAGATCTCATAGGTCAGATCTGAGATATTACCCACAGTCAACAAGATACAGCTGTAGATCCTGGCTACACAGGAGTTGCAGCGGTGGGAACGAGAGGTGGGAATAGTCCTGTAAGTCAATAAAACAATGTATCAGCTGCCAGACGCCTGCAAGAATTACACTCGGCTCACGAAGCGAGGGACCGGAACTTGGCGGAAGAAATGTGCGCTAGGTGAGTTTATTATTTATTTATTTATCAGGTTGTCGATCCACCTTGTGGGTGGGTGTAGCTGCGTTTTCCGGTACGTGTAGGTAAGTTAAGGCTCTTCTTATTTTGTTAAGGTCAGCTGAGAAGATGGCAGGAAAGTTCTTGAGTGGCGACCACGAGCCAGAAGACGTAGCGTGGGCAGGCCTCACACTAGGTGGACCGACGATCTGGTGAAGGACGATGTGATGCCTGGATGCGAGCGGCGCAGGACCGGTCTTTGTGGAAATCCTTGGGGGAGACCTTTGTCCAACAGTGGACGTCTTTCGGCTGAAACGAAAGAATTTTGACTTTGAAAAATAATTATAATTAATATGCTTGAGCTTAGTTAATTAAAAATGTTGTTGAAATATCAGTTTTATTTAAATTAATGTTATTTTTATCTTTTTCAGAGTTATGACGTGGTCTCTATGGCAAATCGTGCTCATGCTCACAGTAGGAGTCACACAGGTAAATATCTTTTGTGTCATCAAAATCCGTCCAGCTATCACATAGACCAGATTTGTATGCTCGACATAACTTCATAAATGTCGACATAGATTTAAACTTTACTTCAATACCTGGTTTAAAGAAGGTCATACTTGCTTTGGAATAATCATGCACTTAAAATTAATTTAAATACTGTATGTTACTCGTATCTCTACTGTAACAAACATTTGCGAATATGTTCGATGCATCTCTATTATTGTATACTGTAGCAATGGAGATGTACTGTTGTGTAGGTAGTATTTGCATTTTTTTGCGTAGTTACACATTATTTGGCACATGCAGTGCTTTTCTTTAATATGGGACACTTATACATGTAATTTTGGTTATGTATTTTAATTTTTAATAGTGTACTCATTGTTGAAAAGCCAAAATAAATGTCAAAATCACCCCTCCCGTACCTCAGGCACTGACTGAGTTAATCTCAATTCCTTTTTCAGGTGTACTTCGTGAAAAGTCTATTCGAGGATGGCGGATTTAAAAGATTAATACCATCATTCTCATAACACCCACATAAACAAAAAACACGTTGAATAATAAAGAACTAACTCAAAAAGTCACTTTTTCGAGTTGTTACCATATAACGACAAAAAACTAGAAAAACGGCCGTTTGGTGTAATGGTTCGAAACGGACTACTATTCCGGAGGTAGCGGGTTCGATTCCCGCACAGTACAAACATTTGTGTGCATGAACATATTTGTTTGTATTGGACTGGGTGTTTTCTATGTATAATATGTATGTATTTACAAAAAAAAAAGTATTTAAGTATGTTTATATCCGTTGTCTAGTACCCATAGTACAAGCTTTGCTTAGTTTGGGACTAGAAGCGCAGTGTAAAATGTCCAAGGATATTNTAATCAAATTCAGAACATGAATATTAAACTGCAATGTCTGCTCATGAACGCTTCAAGCTCGGTACTTCTTTCCCAATTCCATAAAATTCAAAACTTAGAAAGTGACAAAAAACTTTAAAATAGGTAGTTGAAACAGACTACAGCTAATTTTCATAGTGGACTGTACCATACGATAAACATGTCAGTCAATTTGACACCCTTTGTCGGAAACATTATTCAATGAAAATATAGTCCGAACCGTTAGTATTTCTCTTCGACAAATACATTAACACATTGTGAACCACTTTTCTTTCACGACTATAAAAATATTTTAGCAATTTAAGTCACTAAATCAATTGCACACATTTAAAATAAAGTTTGTTTACACTTTGACAACAATAGACTGACATGCAAGGTGACATGTCAATGAAGTTTTCAGTTACTGTTGCCATTAAAAGAAATTAGTACCATTAGTTTTCCGCAACATGGCGAGGGTTTTTATGTTCCTGGTCAGGCTATAGTAAAAACAGTTCCTCACATCACATAGGTCAAATCTATTTACATAGAAAATCTGCCATCTTTAGATGCTACTATTTTTGCATAAAATATGAAATGAAATGATAGATTTTCTTATAAAAATGATATACAGATATTCTATAAACCTAGTGTTCTAGCAGGTTCCTTATAAAAATCAGATCGGTAGCTAATTTCATAGGTAGCTAAGAGTGCTCTATAACTCTTAGGTAAAGAGTGGCACAACTCAAAATTATTTTTTTTTTACAGGTATAGTAGTTTTGAGGCAGATTCTGATAGTCGCACAACTTGATTTTGAATTATTTTGAGTTGTGCTACTTTTTATCTGTGTGTAAATATTTTAAATGAACTTATGACCTATCTTCACTTTTTGTGTAGTTTTTTCATGTAAAAAAATCGCAAAAATATATTTTGTCACATACGTAAATATACTCAGATTTACAGAATTATATTTATAGGTATTTGATACCGTTACACTTTAGTGTTGCCAGAGTTAAAAACTAGTTGTTTATATATTTTTAATACGTATACCTACTTAAATCAACAGGATTCTTATGGGTATTTTAATACCCACATTACACTTTTTACGCCCGCATTCGCAAACGATGCTTGTGAAGCAGCAAATCGAACACATAGCGTTGAATAGAGCTCTGTGATTGGTTCGTGTGTCACCCTGTGCGTACACGCGCACTGTGAGACCTCATAGTAATGTTTGTGAATACGGGCGTTGGTGTTGTTAGTATGCTGGTGTTGGTAGTAGCATGAAAACTACTCGTTTATACAATTTTAGTGATAAAATGTTTGCCAAAGCACGTAAAATGCGGTTTCGATCAAAATCATTTGTGGTGGTGTATAGTCCGGTCGCCGAGCACGTAGAATTTCGTCCAATGACTCCAAGCTACCCATCCTTATCGCACGCGCGTCATGCTGTCGCGATCGCACACTAACTGCGGCCGCCCGTAGCACAGTCGCGACAGCAATATAATTACGCGCGAGCGATAAGGATGGGTAGTTTGGGGTCATTGGACGAAATACCGATAACACTCAAACATAAGCGGAAGAATGATGGCGGGGCGCGTCTTCATGGATGAAACAATCTAATAGATAAAATTTGACCCCTAGTTTTGATCGGAGTCGCATTATGTTATTGTATTTGTAGAATTTTGTACAATGTCTCAAATGCACAATAATTATATAAGTTAGTTGAATAAATTATTTAATTATATTTTGTGTTATAATTTATTCCTTTTATGGTTAAAAAACAAATGAAACAAAAAATACTTCTGTAAAATGATTCTTTTATTTCTTTTACTTTACATAAATATTTTAAATAATTACTTTTTTCCGGGAAAATGTATTTAAACCAGTCTTTAATTAAAAATCTTGATAAGAATTAAAATAAATTGTTTTTAAAATAATCGGAAGACTTCACAAAAATACTTAAAATTAAATTAAATTAATAAAACCGAACAGAATTCATTTTCACAATATAGACTAGATTCACGTATTTTAAAATTCAATTTTGATACAAAAAACATATCAATAAAAAATATAGGCACAGTCATGTTATATTCGAGACAAATACTATATGTCTAGCGCATAAGAGTAGGCGTACACCGTTGATTTTTAGTTGGCCGATAGTTGTGCCCGATTTTAAATTGTATGAACAATCGGCCAAATCGAATCGGCGTAGTGTGCGCACTCCCATACATGCCCATACTGATCAACTGCCCGACTAAACTATCGGCCGACGAAAAATCAACGGTGTGCGCCTACTCTAACAGGCATTGAGTTAAGCAATAGATTNTATAGACCATTGGTTCCCAAACTTATTCGAGACGCGCCCCCTTTCGACCATACAAAAAAATCCGCGCCCCCTCCTCCAGTCAAGATTATTTATTGGTCGTATCGAGCAGTTTGGAATGCATTCTCTCAGTGGTCGCAGGTTTCTAACAGATTGCCTGCGCCCCCCTTTAAAGGTCTTTGCGCCCCCCACTTTGGGAACCAATGCGCTAGATTTTTTCAACTGAAAAATTATGGTTTCATATTTTAAAGCCTGGTCCGTGAGCACGTAGAATTTTGTTCAATGAACCCAAGCTACCCATTCTTATCGCTCGCGCGTAATTATATTTACAAAATTCTACGTGCTCACGGACCAGGCTTTAAATGCAAAAATACTAACCAATAAATGCTACAATTAATATCATGTGGTTACATAATCTAACTTATGATTTATTATTTCTGGAAGCACGGATGACTGTACCTGAAAATATACACAATTTTAAATAAAATATACAATACATAACTCTATATAAGTACAGCGAAAATATGTCAACTGTTTTCTGAGCACGACTGTCAAGTTGATCACAGCTGATTAATGTTTACACTGGAAATCTGATCTACTGTGACTAGGATAGGAATACGTCCCGGAAACAACTGTTCACGACTTCGTTCAATCAAACACGTTCAAATACTAAGCATGGCTGTCTTAATGATCAGCGCTAAGTAAACACATTCCAAACGTACCTCTAATCTCTCAATTCTCCCCTGGTCGGTCCTTAACACCCCATGGCTCCTTATTAGATGCTGTCTCACACTCCCTGCTCCAATAACTTTACGGCAGTACTGTTCATGACTGTCAAACGCTGAACAAGGCTGTCTTGACGTTCAGTGCTAATAAAACACAATCCTAACGTACCTCTAATCTGTCAATTCTCCCCTGTCTGGTCGATCCTCAGCACCCCTTGGCTTCCTCGCCAGATGCTGTCTACGAACTGTTTTCGACTGTCAAATTCTGAGCATGGTTGTCTTAATGAGCTGCGGTAAGTAAACAATCCAAACGTACCTCTAATCTCTCAATTTTCCCCTGGTTGATCCTCAGCACGCCTTGGCTTCCTCGCCAGATGCTGCCTAAGAACTGTTTCCGACTGTCAAATTCTGAGCATGACTGTCTTAATGATCTGCGCTAAGTAAACACAGTCTAAACGTACCTCTAATCTCTCAATTTTCCCCTGGTCGATCCTCAACACCCCATGGCTTCTCGTAAGATGCTGTCTCACGTTCCCTGGCCTCGAGAACACGTCCCGGCAGACAGGGCACACGTATTTGTACGGTTTCTGACGATGCACCTTGTATTGGTGGACTTGGAGGAGCTTCTTGGACTTTTCGCGCTTGTCGCACATGCTGCACTGTGGTATAAAAAGTGGGATTTAAACTGCTGTTTTTGTGATTTCAAATGAGTTTTATAGCTAAAAAAATAAATAAGATCTCATTCCTCAGTGGCAAAGTAAACCTAAACACTTTTATACTTTTGACTTTTTGCAGCGATACAAATTGATACAATACAATCGCTTGTTGATAGTGCGATTGTATAGCTGCTTATGCATTATGGTACCTAAATGAGTGAATGTAATACTAGGTAGGTACACGCATTTTTTATACATTTTGGAACTATTTTAACTATTATTTCGCCGNAATAGATTGGTTCCCAAACTTATTTGAGACGCGCCCCCTTTCGACCATACAAAAAATTCCGCTCCCCCTCCTCCAGTCAAGATTATTTATTGGTCGTATCGAGCAGTCTGGAATGCATTCTCTCAGCGGTCGTATTCTTACAGATTGCCCGCGCCCCCCTATTAAGGTCTTTGCGCCCCCCACTTTGGGAACCAATGGCTAGACCTATAGAGTACATTTTTTCAACTGAAAAATTATGGTTTCATATTTTAAATGCAAAAATACTAACCAATAAATGCTACAATTAATATCATGTGGTTACATAATCTAACTTATGATTTATTATTTCTGGAAGCACGGATGACTGTACCTGAAAATATACACAATTTTAAATAAAATATACAATACATAACTCTATATACAGCGAAAATATGTCAACTGTTTTCTGAGCACGACTGTCAAGTTGATCACAGCTGATTAATGTTTACACCGGAAATCTGATCTACTGTGACTAGGATAGAAATACGTCCCGGAAACAACTGTTCACGACTTCGTTCAATCAAACACGTTCAAATACTAAGCATGGCTGTCTTAATGATCAGCGCTAAGTAAACACAATCCAAACGTACCTCTAATCTCAATTTTCCCCTGGTCAATCCTGCACGCCATGACTCCTCGTAAGATTATGTCTCACACTCCCTGCTCCAATAACTTTTTACGGCAGTACTGTTCATGACTCAAATGCTGACCATGCTTATCATAGACTCATACGTTAATTAAGGTGTCGCAGCGACCCAAAGTGAGTCTTGGCACCCGACAATAAGAATCTCCACTCCGGTGTTCAGCGCTACCTCTCACCAGTTATTCGCGAGAGGTTATTGGAGAACGCGTCGGTCCGATCTTTATCTCTCCAGCGGAACCATAGTATGCTAAACAAATGCTAGCAAACGTACCTCTAATCTCTCAATTTTCCCCTGGTCGATCCTTAACAACCCATGGCTCCTTGTCAGATGCTGTCTCACGTTCCCTGGTCTTGAGAACACATCCCGGCATAGAACTAGACCACCACTGTCAAATACTGAGCACGGCTGTCTCGACGTTCAACACTAGTAAAAAACATAATCCAAGCTTATCTCAAACTTCTCAATCGTCCACTGGTCGATCCTAAGCACCCCATGGTTTCTCATAAGGTGCTGCTTCTTTTGTCAGACAACTGTCCGCGACTGTTAAACGCTGTCTTAGTACGCTGTTAAAAAGTCAATAAACCAGTCCAAACTTACTTCTAATCTCTCAATTTTCCCCTGGTCGATCCTTAACTAACACCCCATGGCTCCTCGCCAGATGCTGTCTACGAACTGTTTTCGACTGTCAAATTCTGAGCATGGTTGTCTTAATGAGCTGCGGTAAGTAAACAATCCAAACGTACCTCTAATCTCTCAATTTTCCCCTGGTCGATCCTTAACATCCCATGGCTTCTCGCAAGATGCTACCTACGAACTGTTTCCAACTGTCAAACGCTGAGCACGGCTGTCTTAGTGCGCTGAGCACAGTAAAAAGTCAATAAACCAGTCCGAACGTACCTCTAATCTCTCAATTTTCCCCTGGTCGATCCTCAGCACACCGTGACTCCTTGTCAGATGCTGTCTCACGTTCCCTGGCCTCGAGAACACGTCCCGGCAGACAGGGCACACGTATTTGTACGGTTTCAGACGGTGCACCTTGTATTGGTGGACTTGGAGGAGCTTCTTGGACTTTTCGCGCTTGTCGCACATGCTGCACTGTGGTATAAAAAGTGGGATTTAAACTGCTGTTTTTGTGATTTCAAATGAGTTTTATAGCTAAAAAAATAAATAAGATCTCATTCCTCAGTGGCAAAGTAAACCTAAACACTTTTATACTTGTGACTTTTTGCAGCGATACAAATTGATACAATACAATCGCTTGTTGATAGTGCGATTGTATAGCTGCTTATGGTACCTAAATGAGTGAATTTAACACTAGGTACACACATTTTTTATACAATTTGGAACTGTATTAGTGCTATTTGAGACTGAATCGTTTATTTCAACAAAAAATCATGTTAATAAAAAATTTCATTTTATGCCACATAACAAAAATAAGGTAAGGACACTAGTGTTTGATATCGGACTTTTATCAACAAATATTCAAGTTACAAAGTAACAATTTTAATACGAAAAAGTTCATCAAATTAGTTTTAACAACTCTAGTCTTTCAGCTTAACAACATCGTCCGTCGTCCAACCACTAGTGTTCTACCCAAACTAAATTAAATAAAAGCCGATAAATGTCAACTAGTGCCGTTACCTTACCTTGTTATTTTTCTTCATATCCAGGGGCCGGTTGTATGTACCCCACCCTTTGATATACATAACACTAATCCTACAATACTATACTGTAAGGCTGGATTTATATTCTAATCTAATATTAAATAGGAGAATATATTTATTATAATACGACAAATATAAAAGTCGCATGGAGATCAAATAATAAAAAAACGTATTTACAAAAAGTTTTTATAATTTTTATTTTATAACTTATTTTAATTAATTTGTATAAATCACTTAAAACATGGCGCTTATTCTAAATCTATAACATACAAATACCTACGCTTCTATCGCTCCAACGTACTTTATATTAAAATAGGTAGTCGCTTGTCGCTTCATATTCAGCAAGTAACTCGGTTCTCATCTCACATATTTTGAGATAATTTCGGAATCACGAACTGCAATGAAGAATGTTCACTAATTTTGTTTTTTAGCTTTCTTTATTCTCTGTTAAAAATAAAAAATACACGTGAAAGAATTATTTCGATACGTCAATTAGTTTCCAAGATATTGAATTTTAAAAGTGCGGGCGGCGGCCGGCCCGCCATTTTATGCGCGTGACGTCATATTACAACGACTGGCTCATATTTGTATGGGTGGAATCTTGCAAACTGAATTAAGACCCACTTCCAGGCAACCGATTAAGCTGAAATTTCGCAAACACATGTGATTTGGATGACCATGCAATATTATGATGACATGGAGCTGATCTGATGATGGAGCTGGAAGGTGGCCATAGGAACTCTATAATAAAACGACTTAAATGCATCGAGTTTGGGCTCGTTCGTTTTGTATTGATGAGTATTTTAATTCTATATAGTAATCGGGGTCTAATGATGGAGCTGGAAGGTAATTCGCAATAAAACGACACAATCGCATCAAGTTTGGGTTTGNTTCAAATACTAAGCATGGCTGTCTTAATGATCAGCGCTAAGTAAACACATTCCAAACGTACCTCTAATCTCTCAATTCTCCCCTGGTCGGTCCTTAACACCCCATGGCTCCTTATTAGATGCTGTCTCACACTCCCTGCTCCAATAACTTTACGGCAGTACTGTTCATGACTGTCAAACGCTGAACAAGGCTGTCTTGACGTTCAGTGCTAATAAAACACAATCCTAACGTACCTCTAATCTGTCAATTCTCCCCTGTCTGGTCGATCCTCAGCACCCCTTGGCTTCCTCGCCAGATGCTGTCTACGAACTGTTTTCGACTGTCAAATTCTGAGCATGGTTGTCTTAATGAGCTGCGGTAAGTAAACAATCCAAACGTACCTCTAATCTCTCAATTTTCCCCTGGTTGATCCTCAGCACGCCTTGGCTTCCTCGCCAGATGCTGCCTAAGAACTGTTTCCGACTGTCAAATTCTGAGCATGACTGTCTTAATGATCTGCGCTAAGTAAACACAGTCTAAACGTACCTCTAATCTCTCAATTTTCCCCTGGTCGATCCTCAACACCCCATGGCTTCTCGTAAGATGCTGTCTCACGTTCCCTGGCCTCGAGAACACGTCCCGGCAGACAGGGCACACGTATTTGTACGGTTTCTGACGATGCACCTTGTATTGGTGGACTTGGAGGAGCTTCTTGGACTTTTCGCGCTTGTCGCACATGCTGCACTGTGGTATAAAAAGTGGGATTTAAACTGCTGTTTTTGTGATTTCAAATGAGTTTTATAGCTAAAAAAATAAATAAGATCTCATTCCTCAGTGGCAAAGTAAACCTAAACACTTTTATACTTTTGACTTTTTGCAGCGATACAAATTGATACAATACAATCGCTTGTTGATAGTGCGATTGTATAGCTGCTTATGCATTATGGTACCTAAATGAGTGAATGTAATACTAGGTAGGTACACGCATTTTTTATACATTTTGGAACTATTTTAACTATTATTTCGCCGTGTGGTGACGGCAGAGTAGAATACATTTGTCACCAACCCCTACTCTTCCCGCGGGTGTCGTAAGAGGCGACTTAGGGACTACACAACAAACAGAGAATGGGCAGCAGCGCTCTCTGAAAAACATAATAAAGAAAAATAAAATAAAATAAAATAAACATCAATCTTTTAAACTGCGATTTCCAACCCGCCTGCCAAGCGTGGAGATTATGGCAAATCCCTCCACCATAGTGGAGGAGGCTCATAGTCCAGCAGTGGACTGTAAAGGGCTGTTGATGATGATGATGATTGGAACTATTAGTGCTATTTGAGACTGAATCATGTATGAAAAGCTGCAAAAAGTCGCAGTATAAAAAGAACCACGATTTTATTTCAATAAAAATTCACGTTAATAAAAAATACCATTTTATGCTACGTAACAAAAATAAGGTAAGGACACTAGTGTTAGATATCGGACTTTTATCAACAAATATTCAAGTTACAAAGTAACAATTTTAATATTAAAAAGCTCAACAATTCTAGTTTTTCAGCTTAACAACATCGTCCGTCGTCCAACCACTAGTGTTCTGCCCAAATTAACTAAATAAAAGCCGATAACTAGTGCCGTTACCTTACCTTGTAATTTTTCTTCATATCCAGGGGCCGGTTGTATGTACCCCACCCTTTATTATACATAATACTAATCCTAAAATACTATACTGTAAGGCTGGATGTATATCTTATATTTAATTGGAGAATATCTTTTTATTTAATTATAATAATACGTCAAAATATAAATGTCGCATCGAGATCAAATAATAATTGTATTTACAAAAAGTATGATATAAATCACTTAAAAATGGCGATTATTCTAAATCTATAACATACAAATACGCTTCTACCGCTCTAATTTATTTTATATTAAAATAGGTAGTTATTGTATGTTTTCCTAAAATGTTTCATCATCATCATCATTTCAGCCATAGGACGTCCACTGCTGAACATAGGCCTCCCCCAATGATTTCCATGTTGGTCGATTGGTAGCTTCCTGCGTCCAGCGCCTTCCTGCTACCTTTATGATCTCATAGGTCCACCTTGTAGGTGGACGTCCCTAAAATGTTTAGCAATGAAATAATCATGTCGCTTCATAGCATGTACATACTCGATTGTCGTCTCACATAGGCATTAAATAAATAAACAAAATGTGTATAAATAAATAAATCCCTAAAGCTGCACCCTAACAACCGGCCCCTGCTGATCGTCAGGCAGTCCGTGCACACGCCGCGAATGCGCGCGAACTTTGTTCGGCTTCTCGAAGCGTCGCTCGCACACCGCACATAAGTAGCCGTAGCGGCGGCCCGTGTGCGCGTTGTGTTTGTGTATTTGAAGGAACTTGCGCGATTTGAGACGCTTCGGGCAGAGGTCGCACTGAAAACAGCGCTTTAGTTATGAATTTAGCGCTGATTAGTATTTGTCAGCGCTGCTATATGTCAAAATTTTGTGTCTTGTGAGTGAAAACAGTGTTATAGTTGGCTATTGTGTCGAATTTAGTGCTGTCCAGCGCAGATCAGCGTTTGTCAGCGCTGCTAAATTACAAAATTTTGTGATTTTCTCTATAATAGATCACTCTAGTGTGATCTCGTAAGCAATAGTTACAGATACCTAGTGGTAGTAATATCAATCTATCGAATTAGCATTGATTAGTATTTGTCAGCGCTGCGCACTGATTAAACAACAAAATGTTGTGTGGTTGTGTATTAGAACACACTGCACGCAAGCATTTTATTTTAGTTGAGATAAATTGTCAGTTTCTGTTGGCATTTGGCATGGACTATAAAGCTTTTTTTAATGCAAGACAAAGCATGTATTTGACTGCAATCGCACCTGATGTTTAGTGGCGTTTCAGCTCGGAATGACAACTTCTCAAAATGACGACCGGGGCGCAAAATGTCCACTTCTCATAATGTCTATTTCTCACAATGACAAATTCGCATTTGGTCTATAGTCTGGTCCGTGAGCACGTAGAATTTTGTCCAATGACCCCTAGCTACCCATCCTTATCGCTCGCGCGTAATTATGTTGCTGTCGCGCTCGCACACTCACTGCGGGCGCCCGTCGCACAGTCGCGATAATGTCAGCTACTTGTTGATATTTTATTTTCATTATTTCTAGAGTTCTAGTTCTTCTAGAGTTGTCATTATGCGAAGTTGACCAAATGCGAATTTGTCATTGTGAGAAATAGACATGAGTAGTTGCCTTTTAGCGAAGTTGACATTTTAAGAAGTTGTCATTTCGAGAAGTGGACATTTTGCGCCCCGGTTGTCATTTTGAGAAGTTGTCATTCCGAGCTGAAACGGTTTAGTGAGATGCCCAGTAACTGCCTATTCACTCTCGCCTTGAAGAGGCCCGGATCACGGATGATAGTGTTCGTGTTGAACCTAAACACCAATACAACTATAGCATACCTGAAAGTTCTTCTCCGGCAAGTGTATGGCGATGTGTTGTACCAGATTAGACCGGCGGTGGAAGGTGGCGCCGCAGTGATCACATACGTACGGCCGCTCGCCCGTGTGGCGCCGCTCGTGGATCTTTCAAATAAAATCAAATTTATAAAATCAAAATATGTCAAAAATAACAAAAATAAAAAGTAGCACTTTACATGTCTCGTTAACTAACAAAACCATGAATGAAAAAAGGTTTTATCAAATTTGATTGTGATTTTATCAAAGCTTGAAATGAATTAATATTAAATTAGGACAGACTATTAAACATACATTTATTTATTTATTTTTGGGAAACATACAGTTACAATATAATTTAACTTAGGTGCAGTAAGACAACACATAAACCAATTAAGTTTCCACAGCTAAATATACACATAAAGTTGGGTAAACCATTATTTTGTTGTGAAAAATAATAGGGGTACAGTGTTTTTATTATTTACTTGTTATTTGCTCTGCTCAAGGCTGTCAAGCGACTGAGCAAGACTGTCAAATGCCGAACTGCTGAGCAAGACTGTCAAATTCTGAACTGATTATAACTTACCGTAAGCGCCTCTTTAGTAGCAGCGCTGTATTCACAGTACGCACACTTGTGGATGCGCCCTAACCCGTGACGCACACCCTCATGTTCTTGCACTTGATTGTAGTGTCAAAATAATATCGACTTTATTGCTTGGACATAAGGTGCACTATCGCTTGCCATGTAACACCATTAAGCTGATAGACTATTCCTTACACAATAAGGTGCACTCACCGTGAGCGCCTCTTTAGTAGCAGCGCTGTACTCGCAATACGCACACTTGTGGATGCGCCCTAACCCGTGACGCGCGCGCTTATGTTCTTGCAGTTGGTTGTCAAGCGAATAAGGACCTTATTCCTTGGACATAAAGTGAGATATTGTTTCATTATCATCATTTCAGCCACAGGACGTCCATTGCTGAACATAGGCCTACCCCAATGACAGGTTGGTAGCGGCCTGCTTCCAGTGCCTTCCTGCTATATTACTTGCTACGTACGGAGTAAAAATTCAATTCTTGCGATTAATTGCTGTGTCAAGGGAATAAGGACCCTATTCTTTCAGCATAAGGTGCACTATCGCACGGCGCTATCTATTTGAGTAATGTGAAGCGAATATGGACCCTATGCCTTACACAATAAGGGTTATAGTTCTTATGACTCACCGTGAGAGCCTCATTAGTAGCAGAGCTGCACTCGCAATACGCATTGATTGTTGTGTCAAGCTAATAAGGACTCTATTCCTTACACAATAAGGTGCACTCACCGTAAGCGCCTCTTTAGTAGCAGCGCTGTATTCACAGTACGCACACTTGTGGATGCGCCCTAACCCGTGACGTGCGCGCTTATGTTCTTGCACTTGATTGTAGTGTCAAAATAATATCGACTTTATTGCTTGGACATAAGGTGCACTATCGCTTGCCATGTAACACCATTAAGCTAATAAGGACTCTATGCCTTACACAATAAGGTGCACTCACCGTAAGAGCCTCTTTAGTAGCAGCGCTGTACTCGCAGTACGCACACTTGTGGATGCGCCCTAACCCGTGACGCGCGCGCTTATGTTCTTGTAGTTGGTTGTCAAGCGAATAAGGACCTTATTCCTTGGACATAAGGTGCAATATTGCTTACCATGGAGTAATCTAGCAATTCTCTACTAACTCTTTGAGATTGATTATTGTGTTAAGCTAATAAGGACCCTATGCCTCAAGCGTGAGGTGCATTATTGCTTACCTTGGGGTGGGTCAAGCAATCATGATCATACTAGCGCTAAGCTAATATGGACCCTATTCCTCGGACATAAGGTGCACTATTGTTTGCCTTGGTTGCAGTAGCTTCGCGAACTTGTGGATGCGGATTTAGTGTTGTATCCAAAGTTGCGTCAAGCTAATAAGGGCCCTATTCCTCGGTTATAAGGTGCACTATCGCTTGTCTTGGAGTAGCGTAGTAAACGTTAAGGTGCACTTACTGTAAGAGCCTCTTTAGTAGCAGCGCTGTACTCGCAATACGCACACTTGTGGATGCGCCCTAACCCGTGGCACGCGTCCTTGTGCTTTTACAGTTATTGGTGTCATGATCATTGTAGCGCTAAGCTAATATGGACCCTATTCCTTGGACATAAGGTGCACTATTGTTTGCCTTGGTTGGAGTAGCTTCGCGAACTTGTGGATGCGGATTTAGTGTTTCCAGAGTTGCGTCAAGCTAATAAGGGCCCTATTCCTCGGTTATAAGGTGCACTATCGCTTGTCTTGGAGTAGCGTAGTAAATATTAAGGTGCACTCACCGTAAGAGCCTCTTTAGTAGCAGCGCTGTATTCACAGTACGCACACTTGTGGATGCGCCCTAACCCGTGTCGTGCGCGCTTATGTTCTTGCAGTTGGTTGTCAAGCGAATAAGGACCTTATTTCTTGGACATAAGGTGCAATATTGCTTACCTTGGGGTGGGTCAAGCAATCATGATCATTCTAGCGCCAAGCTAATATGGACCCTATTCCTCGGACATAAGGTGCACTATTGTTTACCTTAGTTGTATTAGCTTCGCGAACTTGTGGATGCGGATTTACAGTGTTGTATCCAGGGTTGCGTCAAGCTAAAAAGGGCCCTATTCCTCGGTTATAAGGTGCACTATCGCTTGTCTTGGAGTAGCGTAGTAAACGTTAAGGTGCACTCACCGTAAGAGCCTCCTTAGTAGCAGCGCTGTACTCGCAATAAGCACACTTGTGGATGCGCCCTAACCCGTGGCGCGCGCGCTTATGTTCCTGCAGTTGGTTGTTATTCCGACAGCGCTTGCCGCACGCCTGCAAGAGATTTTGGACATAAGTACACCGTAATAAAGTTCAAAATGTAGTTGTTACCTTACTAGGAATGTACAGAACAAGGCCCATAGAGCATAGGACCGGTTGTTATTGAAATCCCTGGGGGAGGCCTTTGTCCAGAAGTGGACGTTATTTGGCTGACACGAACTTAAATTTTTCATATACACAAATAAAAAAAAAAATAAGAGTCGAGTGTGTTTTCATTCTTGCTAATACGAATATTTGTTACATGCTTAGTTTTTTCTGCACTATGGCAATCAGTTCGAAAACAATAAGCCACTTGTTTGGATGGAGCTACATGTCCTGAGTTTTATTTGAGAGCCAATCAATTGCTGAACTTTCCAACAAACCCTCTTCTTGACTCAGTCTACAAATCTTTGGGAGAGACTGGGAATGCCTTTTCTTTTCATTTGATTGTACTGTAGTCCACCTCCACCACTTAAGGCCATAAGCTTAAAGCCCGGTCACCGAGCACGTAGAATTTCGTCCAATGACCCAAAGCTACCTATCCTTATCGCTTGCTGTCGCGACTGTGCGACGGGCACCCGCAGTGAGTGTGCGAGCGCGACAGCAACATAATTACGCGCAAGCGATAAAATTCTACATGCTCACAGACCAAACTATAGATGGTAGACTTTTTACAGGCAGCCTCTTACAAACTATAACTAATTTTAATTCAACACACTCACTTCGCAAACACAGTAGTTAGTGTGGAACCGCATGTGCGACTGGTACGTGGCCTTCATCCGGAACTCCTTGTTGCATGTACTGCACTTGTACGATGGTGCGTTCGGTATCGCTGGCCGCTTCTTCTTTTCTGTTGGTTTCTGATAAGGAAAAAATAGAATGTGTTAATGGAGTCAAGAGTATCTTGATCCAGTTTGGAATCCCTTGGGCATTCGTTCCCAAAGTGGGCGATAACGCCCCCTTGTGGGCGCTGCAGGCTTAAAGGGAGGCGGTAAGAGACCCAGAAAAAAAATCGGGACGATGTGTAGAGGCTTGGGAGGCGTCATTTACTAGGAGGTCTCTTAGACACCGACTGAGCACTCGACTCTCGACTACAAATGGGGGCGCTAAAAAGAATTTATTCTCAAAGTGGGCAGTAGACAAAATAAGTTTTGGAACCGCTGCCCTAGGGCATTCAAAATCAAAATCAAAAAATATTTATTCAGTTTAGACTAGAGATGAAACGGATATCCGGCAACTATCCGGTAGGCCGGATATCCGGCCTAAATTTACTATCCGGCCGGATACCGGATAGTAGCTCACTATCCGGCCGGATACCGGATATTAAAAAACTACGAAAATTTCCTATAATAAAATGAAACACATTAATCTTTGAGTTAAATATCAATTAAATGGCTTATAATAATGACGGTTTTTATCTAAAGTCCAAAAAGTTACAAAAAAGCCATATTAAGGCCTTTCAAAATTTCCTTTCTGGGCTATTCACTCTAATGACGAATACATAAATAGTAAATATATTTTATTGTCGAAATATTGCCAAATAAAATAGGCTTTTTCACTGATGGTCTGATCACATACAGGGTGACTTTGAAATTGTTGGCATCCTTTTAATAAAGACTCATGATACCATAGTGCATTCCCCAAATATGAGACAAATCCAATGAGATTTTTTGTCATTATTTTAACTATGTATTTGTATTAGTGTGCTCTTAAAAAGAGTTTAAAACTATTGTCCAGTCAACAGCACATCATCCTATACATTTGGTTGCAAAATAACACTTCATCATTTCAGCCATAGGACGTCCACTGCTGAACATAGGCCTCCCCCAATGCTTTCCATGATGATCGATTGGTAGCGGCCTGCGTCCAGCGCTTCCCTGCTACCTTTACGATGTCGTCGGTCCACCTTGTAGGTGGACGTCCCACGCTGCGTTTTCCGGTACGCGGCCTCCATTCCAGAACCTTTCTGCCCCATCGGCCGTCAGTTCTGCGTACTATGTGCCCTGCCCATTGCCACTTCAGCTTGCTAATCCGTCGGGCTATGTCGACGACTTTGGTTCGTTTACGGATCTCCTCATTTCTGTAGCACTTAATACATTGAAATAAGATGCCACAGTAATACAGTATGAAGATTGATGAGCTGTCTGTACAAGATTTCAAATATTGATTTAGTTCATTTGATATGACTCATATTTGGGGAATCATGAGTAAAGTCTTATTTTAAAAAGAATGCCAACGATTTCAAAGTCACCCTGTATAATGCAGTTCAGTCAGATTACGCAGCAAGTAAACTAATTGAATTTTCGCTATTCAATCACATACTCACGATGGCAACCGAAATCGCCCGAATTGATCTGCCCCTTAGACTAGTGGCAAAATCTGACATTCTATTCGAACGAATTCGATTTTCGAAAAGTGTGACTTGTCTTGTCTACTAGACCCACTGATCGCGTTAGAAGCACCTGTGCGGCGCTAAACTCGTTACGACATGCAACATGACAATGGGACAACTATCCGGCCGCCGGATATCCGGCTATCCGGCCTAGCAGCTCGCCGGATATCCGGTATCCGGTATCCGGCCAAACAACTATCCGTTTCATCTCTAGTTTAGACCACAAGTGGCACTTATGAACGTCAATAGAAAATAATAAAAAAAGAAAAGGTAGCCCTTATGGGGCACTTTACATGTCTCCTTATCTTTTGGGCCCTACCAGCGCTTCGAGACAAACATAATATGGCAAGTGCTGAGAAGAAACGCCTTGGTTGAAACGCATTGGTTCCCAAAGTGGGGGTCGTGGGCCATCTGTGTACAAGTATAAAAACCTGCGATCGCTGAGAGAATGCATTCCAGACTGCTTGATACGACCAATTAATAATCTTGACTGGAGGAGGGGGGCGCGGAATTTTTTTTCTTGTCGCGTGGCGCGTCTCAAATAAGTTTGGGAACCAATGCCCTAGGTCTTCAATTATATCAAGATTTTTCTACTGAACAACAAAATTATGCAACAAAACTCTCTCAATATTTTTAAAATAACTTGAAAAAATCAAACTGCCTGAGGTGGGAATCGAACCCAAATATTTAGATCAAGAGTCGACTCTGCCTGCAATTACACCTGACGTTAAATGAGATGCAGTCTATGGTTTGTTTGCTAATGGCCATATTACACAACTAGCTTTTGCCGGCGCGGCTTCACCCGCGTGAAATTTAGTGCCACAGATTCGCATAAATTATAGCCTATATGTTAACTTGGGTTACAAATAATAATACTGTAAAGTTTCAATCAAATCCATTCAGTAGTTTTTGCGTGAAAGAGTAACAAACATCCACACAAACTTTCACCTTTACAATATTAGTAGGATTTTAATATAATAAATGAATTTTACTCACTGTTTCAACCTTAGTTTCTGTCACCTCTTCTTTAACAGGTACAAAATTGTCATCATCATTGTGATACTCATTATTCTGATAGCTATAATCCTGAAAACTATCATCGCCACCCATCCCACAGTCATCGTTCTGGAAGTTATTGCCTACGTCTAAATCACTATCTAATTTCTCCTTTTTTGCTTCCTTGAATTTTGTTTTCACCACTTTTTTGCGCAGTTTGTATTTTTTCTTGCTCTTTTTACCGGTTACGCTGTTGAGTAAGGATTTTTCTGCCTTTCTGCTTGTTCTTCTAAACTGTAGAGCTGTGTTCATGGATTCTATGCATTTGCTGCATATTTTTTGGGAGAGACCATCATTCATTTTGATCTGGAATAAGTTTTAAGTAAGTAAGTAAGTACTTTATTGTGTATAGAAACAAGGTTATGTTTATTACTTGTGGATAAGAATGAAACAACAATTAAAAGAGTCATGATAAGGGTTTTCGGACATCATTTCCCATCCTAAAGACAGTATAAACTAAGCAAAAGGTAAATTAATTAGAATACAACTAGAGATGAANAAATATCTTTATCTTTAGCGTAGTAAACGTTAAGGTGCACTCACCGTAAGAGCCTCCTTAGTAGCAGCGCTGTACTCGCAATACGCACACTTGTGGATGCGCCCTAACCCGTGGCGCGCGCGCTTATGTTCCTGCAGTTGGTTGTTATTCCGACAGCGCTTGCCGCACGCCTGCAAGAGAAATAAGCTCCTTGATTTCAAATTGCTTGCAAGTAAACTTATAAAAACCCTCCATGTGGCGCACACGGTTAAAAAGCTCTTCTACACTTCCCAGTATAGTACCCTACCACTGCTTTGGAACAACAGTGGGCCAGTGCTGAGAAGAAGCAGCGCAAGAAACTTAGTCACTATTGTCGGCCGATTTACCTGAAAAGTACACAAACAAAACGACTATAGCCCAACACTGTTGGGTTCAAGTGGTGGCTGGTGGACCCAATGCTGTTTACGTACTTTCTGCTGGCATCTCGCTTACATAAGAGCTTGACTTTTGGCAACGATAGCCGAACGGAGAAAGGGGTCGGACTAGCCGACTCGAGATCCGAGGAACGCGGGTTCGAATCCCGCCTCGAGACTTTTGTGGTGAGCCCACAATTATTGTGGGGCTAACGGGAGTATTAATAATTTGTGTAATTTGTGCATAATAATATAATAATCTTTAGAAAAAAAGTGTAAGCATAAAGACAGAGACAGCAGACGAAGATCTTCCTACTAATATTATAAATGGGAAAGTTTGGATGCCTGGATGTTTGTTACTCTTTCACGCCAAAACTACTGAACGGATTTTGTTGAAACTTTACAGTATTATTGTTTGTAACCCAGATTAACATATAGGCTAAAGCCTGGTCCGTGAGCACGTAGAATCCCGTCCAATGACCCCAAGCTACCCATCCCTATCGCTCGCGCGTAATTATGTTGCTGTCGGGCTCGCACACTCACTGCGGGCGCCCGTCGCACAGTCGCGACAGCAATATAATTACGCGCGAGCGATAGGGATGGGTAGCTTGGGGTCATTGGACGNAATTGTATAATAATGACCAGTTACAATATCGCCTGAACTGAAGGCCTAATATCATTTATTCTGAATCAGCACGTCTTTCGTGACACTACGTGCTAAAAATAACGTGCACAATGTAAGCAACTGCCTATAACTGAAACTTTTGATACCAATTTATATGGCATTAAAGATTAAATAAATAATCATTTTTTTATAAATACATAAATAATTCCCTAAAGCTGCACCCTAACAACCGGCCCCTGCTGATCGTCAGGCAGCCCGTGCACGCGCCGCGAATGCGCGCGAACTTTGTTCGGCTTCTCGAAGCGTCGCTCGCACACCGCACACAAGTAGCCGTAGCGGCGGCCCGTGTGCGCGTTGTGTTTGTGTATTTGAAGGAACTTGCGCGACTTGAGTCGTTTCGGGCAGAGGTCGCACTGAAAACAGCGCTTTAGTTATGAATGAAGCGCTGATTAGTGTTTGTCAGCGCTGCTAAATGACAAAATTTTGTGACTTGTGTCTGAAAACAGTGCTTTAGTTGGCTAATCGACGAATTTAGTGCTGTCCAGCGCAGATCAGCGTTTGTCAGCGCTGCTAAATTACAAAATTTTGTGATTTTCTCTATAATAGATCACACTAGACGTAAGCAGTGGTTACAGATACCTAGTGGTAGTAATATCAATATGTCGTATTAGCACTGATCAGTATTTGTCAGCGCTGCGCATTGATTAAACCACAAAATTTTGTGTGGTTGTGTATTAGAACACACTGCACGCAAGCATTTTATTTTAGTTGAGATAAATTGTCAGTTTCTGTTGGCATTTGGCATGGACTATAAAGCTTTTTTTAATGCAAGACAAAGCAGGTATTTGACTGCAATCGCACCTGATGTTTAGTGGGCGTTTCAGCTCGGAATGACAACTTCTCAAAATGACAACCGGGGCGCAAAATGTCCACTTCTCAAAATGACAACTTCGCTAAAAGACAATTTCTCATAATGTCTATTTCTCATTCGCATTTGGTCTACTACTTGTTGATATTTTATTTTCATTATTTCTAGAGTTCTAGTTCTTCTAGAGTTGTCATTATGCGAAGTTGACCAAATGCGAATTTGTCATTGTGAGAAATAGACATGAGTAGTTGTCTTTTAGCGAAGTTGACATTTTAAGAAGTTATCATTTCGAGAAGTGGACATTTTGCGCCTCGGTTGTCATTTTGAGAAGTTGTCATTCCGAGCTGAAACGGTTTAGTGAGATGCCCAGTAACTGCCTATTCACTCTCGCCTTGAAGAGGCCCGGATCACGGATGATAGTGTTCGTGTTGAACCTAATCACCAATACAACTATAGCATACCTGAAAGTTCTTCTCCGGCAAGTGTATGGCGATGTGTTGTACCAGATTAGACCGGCGGTGGAAGGTGGCGCCGCAGTGATCACATACGTACGGCCGCTCGCCCGTGTGGCGCCGCTCGTGGATCTTTCAAATGAAATCAAAAATAAAAATTTATTTATTTATTTCTCTCACAACAGATCAGAACTTTAAATAAATAACATTTAAACACAAAAAAAAAACACTTTTTCTGTCTGTGTAGTGTAAGTGTGTAGTGTGTGTGTGTGTGGTGTGTGTGTGTGTTTTTGTGTTTAGCATTGTGAGAGCTGGTGCCTATTGTAGATTTTAAGAAAATCTGTATTTACAGGTTTACAATTAATCAATTTTAACCAGTATTTTGGCTCTTATGAACGTCAAAAATAATAATAAAAAGCTGGCTTGAGACTGTCAAGCGACTGAGCAAGACTGTCAAGTGCCGAACTGCTGAGCAAGACTGTGAAATGCCGAACTGCTTAGCAAGACTGTCAAGTGAACTGAGCCACCGTGAAAGCCTCTTTAGTGGCAGCGCTGTGCCCTATGCCTCGGACGTGAGGTGCATTATTGCTTGCTTTGGGGTGGGTCAAGCAATTTATAGTCTCTATGACTCACCGTAAGCGCCTCTCTAGTAGCAGCGCTGTACACGCAAAAGACACGTGCGTGACGCACGCGCTTGTTTTCTCAGTTATTGGTGTCATGATCATTGTAGCGCTAAGCTGATATGGACCCTATACCTTGGACATAAGGTGCACTATTGTTTGCCTTAGTTGTATTAGCTTTGCGAACTTGTGGATGCGGATTTACAGTGTTGTATCCAGGGTTGCGTCAAGCTAATAAGGGCCCTTTTCCTCGGTTATAAGGTGCACTATCTCTTGTCTTGGAGTAGCGCCGCGGTGGGGACCGTCTTTGCTTACATTTGGCCAAAACCACATTATTAAATAAAAGTATTATCTGTATGGCACCAAAAATATATAATAAAATCCCAGAAAACTTGAAACAAAGCTGCTATGGAATGTATCTAGGTGACCTGGAGATACAGCCGGATTAGGTATACAGGGTGGAAACGAGAAATTACAAAATCCAAAAATTCAATGTTACCTGCTTCCATAATCTGTAACCTATTATTGGTACCATTTGAAAGAGCTCGTGAAGCACTTTCAGAATCAGTAACTAGTTATTCGATATCTTGTATAGTTAAGAAATAATCGAGTGAGATCACTTATCGTTCCATATGTATAACCACCCTGTATAATCCGGCTGTATCTCCAGGTCACCTAGATACATTCCATAGCAGCTGTAATAGACATTTAGGTACATACATTTAACAATTTTGGTGATAAATAGGCATTTTGTATTAGTTTTGGAATAACGCTTGAACAAAAACAAAGGGTAATATTTTGGTGTTATACATAGATTTCGAATATAAAAAATATATAATTTAACTAAATAGGACATGACAAAAAAACTGAGGTATGTCTAGTTTCTGTCGGGTCTGGGTTTTTTTTGTATGGGGCGTGACCGTTCTTCTTTCACGTGGGTGAAGCCATGGGCAAAAGCTAGTAATAAAATAATATCTTTACGTACTGTCTAGAAAAGTAAAAATGTTTACCTAAGAACTAGACGGTAGACTTTATACAGGCAGCCTCTTACAAACTATTACTAATTTTACTTCAACTCACCTCGCAAACACAGTAGTTGGTGTGGAACCGCATATGCGACTGGTACGTGGCCTTCATCCGGAACTCCTTGTTGCATGTCCCACACTTGTACGATGGTGCGTTCGGTATCGCTGGCCTCTTCTTCTTTTCTGGTTTCTGATGAGCAAAAAAAATTACCGGTCAATAAAAAGCAAAAAGTCAGCAAAAAAAATTACAAATCATTGGGGGAGATCTATCCAAAAAGATTCCAAAATGTTCAGCAGTGGACATCTTATAGCTGATCATTTCAGTTATGATGTTGATGAAAAAGAATGAAGGAAAATCTAGATATTATATACAACATAACTCAAACTCTCAGACTGTCAAATAGGTAACAGTAAAAATACAATTGGACTTTTAACAAAGTTTTTCCAGCTTCACCAGAGTACAGTAGGTTCTCAAGCAGTTTGGCGGTTGTTGGTGCGCGTGCCGTATCAGTCGCCCGATTATTGGTGAACCCAACTAAAGGGATACACTACTGGACGCAACCAGCCTAAGAAACTGATTGACTGAATTGGATAACAAATACGTTATGAAGGCAATGCTTTGTTTTCTACCAAACAATTTAATTTCTGCTGGCCATATTACACAATTTTAATATAATAAATGAATTTTACTCACTGTATCAGCCTTAGTTTCTGTCACCTCTTCTTTAACAGGTACAAAATTGTCATCATCATCATGATACTCATTATTCTGATAGTTATAATCCTGAAAACTATCATCGCCACCCATCCCATAGTCATCGTTCTGGAAGTCATTGCCTACGTCTAAATCACTATCTAATTTCTCCTGTTTTGCCTCTTTAAGTTTTGTTTTCACCACTTTTTTGCGCAGTTTGTATTTTTTCTTGCTCTTTTTACCGGTTACGCTGTTGAGTAAGGATTTTTCCGCCTTTCTGCTTGTTCTTCTAAACTGTAGAGCTGTGTTCATGGATTCTATGCATTTGCTGCATATTTTTTGGGAGAGACCATCATTCATTTTGATCTGGAATAAGTTTTGAAAGAAAGAAAGAAAAAATATTTATTTGGTAGTATGTTTTATGTTTATTACTTGTGGATAAGAATGAAACAACAAATAAAAGTGTAGTGAAAAGGGTTTTCGGACATCATTTCACATCCTAAAGACAGTATAAACTAAGCAAAAGGTAAATTAATTAGAATACAACACTCAGTATGGAATCTTAATTTAATCTACTTTATACGTCTAGTGCCGACTATTTGGTGTATTTAGTGACTTCTGATAAGATTTAAATATTAATTAAGATTATCAAACCCACAAATAAACAACAAATAAGCATTATTTACCTCTAAACCGGTGACCAGCTTCAGATTGTGCGACCTTTTCTTTTCGCTGTCTTTATTAACAAATATGCTCTCCAAATTGTCAGGGCTTAAGCAGGTCCTGCAGACAAAGACTTCAGGCACTACCACGTCTACTTTTGCAGGTTTTGCTAGCCTTTGTTTGCGAGCTGTTCGCCGTTTCATACTCATCCTGTTCAGAAGCAGTACCGCTAGCATTTTCGCGGTTTTCTCACTTGTGTTGACTTATCCAACTGGTATACATAGACGGAATTGTTGCTAAAGTTTTATTGGTGTTGTTTGTTAGTAATATCAGAGTAAAATTGGTGTAAATCGGAAGAATATTAAATGGAAGCAGCAACAAACAAAAATTGACAACAAAGGGGCGGCCATTTTGAAAAGTTGACAGTGACAGTCATACTTTTTAATTTTTGTTCTACCAAAATAACGCAAAGGATTTGTATATCCTTCCTTTTATTTTCAGCGAATCAATAAAATATGACGCGTGCTTGTGGCGGTTGAGTCAGTTACCGAAGGAAATCTATTTTCTTGTAAAATAGTCCCTATATTAGGGATCTAATAAATCTATTATCATCATTAACTTTCGAGAGAAACTAATGTTTGTAGGTACAAAATAAAAGAAAACCAATTCATTAACTGAAAACATTTATTTAAAATCGTAGTAGAATCATCTACAGCCACCTTTTACTCTTATGTTGAATCAGGAACTGATAACTGAAACAAAAGAAAAAAAATCATTACACATAACACAAGTCACTAATTTTGGAATACTAACGGAACGTTTTATCTCCAACTTAAAAAAACAAAAATGTCAAACATGACGTTTCACTTTCCCGCCAAAAGTAAAAAAAAATGGATGCGCCCATTTCAAATCGCTGTTGCGAGCTGATTATGAAATGAATAAATAAATCTTACCTCAAACCGCTGTATAGCAGACTGGTCGTGTCGTGCCACACCGTGACTTTTTGTCAGGTGCTGTCGTGTCGCGCTGCTGCTTTTGAAAACATCCTCGCATACTGGACAGAGGTAACGGAGGCGTTTTTCTTTGTGCACCTGTTGATAGATAGGTAAGTAGGTCATAATCCATTTTGCCATTTTGGTTCAACAATTTATTTATAATTATTATCCAAATTGTGTTAAATTACTATGTTTTGAACCAAATAAAAAATTTTTTTCTTTTTCTTTCTTTCAATTTCTAATCATCATTATCATCATGATCATTTACTCCCGTACTTACAAACATTACTATGATGTCTCACAGTGCGCGTGGAAGTGCAGGGTGACACACGAACCAATCACAGAGCTCTATTCAACGCTGTGCGTTTGCTTTGCTGCTTCACTTAAGCAAGCATCGTTTGTGAATACGGGCGTTAGGCCTCAGCCTCGAGTTTAGCGGGCAGCGGGGCGGGAGCGGCGGCGGCGCGGAAGCGGCAGGATCTTATGCGTAAAATCAAATAGACCGGTTCTCGAAAACAGCGGCGCGGGAGCGGGGCGGGAGCGGGCAACGAGCGGGCGGCGCACTCCTTCTTTTGCCCACAATAAATCGAGCATTAGGAATAAATTTGAATCGAAATAAAATTGTCGCCGTTGTTCAGATATTTCGTTTGCGAATAAAAACAAATATCTCGACAACACAACCCCGAACACAACACTTCGCCGCTAAAGCGCCGCGCGAGCTGCCCGCTTGTTTCGAGAACGGGTCTGCGTTGCCCGCCCCGCTCCCGCGCCGCCGCCGCTCCCGCGCCGCCGCCGCTCCCGCGCCGCTGCCCGCTAAACTCGAGGCTGAGGCCTTAGAATAAGCCTTATTATTTACCTTGTGATAGTGGTGTTGAAGCAACCGTTTGGATTTCTCACGTTTTTGGCAGATGTTGCACTGTGGAAGTTATTTTGAATAATAATTAACTGTAATCAAATGTTAGAGTGATTTCATCAAGTTTTCTAGAAAAATNTGTTGAAGCAACCGTTTGGATTTCTCACGTTTTTGGCAGATGTTGCACTGTGGAAGTTATTTTGAATAATAATTAACTGTAATCAAATGTTAGAGTGATTTCATCAAGTTTTCTAGAAAAATTTAGATTAAAAAAAAAAAAAAAAAGTTACGATTATTTTAACTAAGTTACGCGCATTTGAGCAATAGGCTAGATGACAAAATTTCAATTATTTGTCCGAGTTAAGTAATTGTATTTAATTAATTGGAATGTGGATTTAATTAATTGGAAAATATTAGACTCATATTTTTTATTTTCTTTCATCCCAACTAATATTATAAATGCGAAAGTAACTCTGTCTGTCTGTCTGTCTGTCTGTCTGTTACGCTTTCCCGCTTAAACCTCGCAACCGATTTTGATGAAATTTGGCATAGAGATAGTTTGAGTCCCGGGAAAGAACATAGGATAGTTTTTATCCCGGTTTTTGAAACAGGGACGCGCGCGATAAAGTTTTTCTGTGACAGACAAAATTCCACGCGGGCGAAGCCGCGGGCGGAAAGCTAGTAATTAAATAATAACAGTGCTACATCGAGTTGAAATGGCGCGATACGTCACGCTTGAGTAGAATTTTTACTCAAAAGTGACGTCACGCGACATTTCAACTCAATATAACATTATAACACTGTAATTATTCGATTATGGGAAAAAAAAATAGGAGTCTAATATTTTCTAATTATCTGTCTGACGGACTAAATAGAATTTCGATTTCATTACCTAGTCATCATCATATTCATCATCCCTATTTCAATTTAGCGGACATAAATGAGAGGAGTAGGTCAAAAATGATTTTCACGTACGAAAACGCGGGCGTAAAGCAGTAAATATTCACCTCATAGTTGCTCTCCGGCAAATGTATCGGCAGATGCTGCACGAGCCCCGCTCGCGAGTGGAAGCTCGCGCCGCAATGTTCGCAGACGAATTCGCGCTCGCCCGTGTGCCGGCGCTCGTGAACCTACACATAATGTTATTTATTTATTAAACAATTCAAATTCAAAACTTGATTGCGTTCGTTCGTTCGTTTCAGCCAAATGACGTCCACTGCTGGACAAAGGCCTCCTCCAAGGTTTTCCATAATGAACGGTCCTGAGCTGCCCGCATCCAGGCTCTTCCCGCGACCCTTACCAGATCGTCGGTCCACCTAGTAGGAGGCCTGCCCACGCTACGTCTTCCAGCCCGTGGTCGCCACTCGAGAACTTTCCTGCCCCAACGGCCATCGTCTCTACGAGCTCACTGCCACTTAATTTAGCAATTCTGCGAGCTATGTCGGTTACTTTGGTTCTCCTTGATTGCGTTAATAGCAGAAAAAAGATTTGTAGTTAGTTTCCATTAGGTCGGATCAGACTCATCTCGGTCGAATGTCGGATATAATATATTTACATCTAACGGACAGATGGAAACACTCGGCCGATTTCCATACAAATTATTAAGCCGTTAGAGTTTTAGAGCGCTTTCACATTAGGGCGTTAGTAGCGCGACAGCAGCGTTTTTATAATGTGAAGGCATCCACTGTCACATAGTATGACATTTTCGTCAGCGCGTCAGTCTCGCGTTTGTCGAGCTGCAAAATCGCCTAAATGTGAAAACGCTCTCAGAATCTCGGTCGGATGCGACCTAAGGATCCTGGATCCGATCGACCGGATTCAAGATGAATTTCAGTTTTGTGTAGCTAATTATAAAAAATTAAGATCTCACCACAAGTCCAGCTTTGGTGGCAGAACTGTAGTCGCAGTAGGAACAGTTGTGTATCCTGGCAAGACCGTGCATGGCTCGCTTGTGTTCCAGCAGGATCGTATTGCTGAAGCAACGCTTACCGCATTCCTGAAGAAAACATATTATTTACCTCTTCGCTCGCGTGAATTCCAGATTGTCACAAAGTCATGATTTGACATAATAATCTCATGGTTAATTACATGGTTTAATATAGAAATAAACCCTCTCTGTAATATACCAAACTAGCGGCCTGCCCGCGACTTCGTACGCGTGGATCCCGTTTTACCCCCGGAGTGGTTTCCTAAAATCCTTCCTTAGCAGATACCTACGTCATAACATCTACCTGCATGCCATATTTCAGTCCGATCCGTCCAGTGGTTTGGGCTGTGCGTTGATAGATATTTAGATGAGCACTGAAGCGGTAGTACTATCGTATTTTTTGCACTCACTAGGATGGCGCCACTAAAGAGTAAACATAATATCAAAAACTATACTCCATGGTACTCAATGGTAAGTGGACTTCGGACGCAGGTTGGCCGTAGTAAGGACAATCTGGCCAGGTGGGGATTCTTGGATGGCTTGAACATGGAGTGCAGGTGCGGTTTTGTTCCCCAGTCGATGAGGCACCTCATGTCATGCCCTGAGTGCCCAAGCAACTGCACTCAGGAGGATTTGATGAGTGCTACTGACAACGCCACTCTTGTGGCGGAGTTTTGGGCTGACACTGTGTAGGTTTGTTGTCGACACGAAAAGAAGAAGATGGTACTCAATATTGAATTTTTTTTGGCATAAATATCACTAATGATTTTTTTTTGGACAGACGGCTTTTGTCATCTTCACTGGGCAATAGGTAAGCGCAGAATCAGATGGCTCTCAATCTAAATATTAACCCCCTTACTAATAAAAAGTTACACAGTTGTTGATCACTGTTTTAAAATGACATTTCCATACTAAACTTCACTTTAAAACACTGATCAACGAGCGTGTAAGTTTTATTAGTAAGGGGGTAACATTTTAACATACCTCACAAATACAATAGCTGTTGTGTGATCGCATGTGTGCTTTGAACGTCACTTTCCTATTGTACTCCTTGTCGCACACATTGCATTTGTAGACCTTGCCTGGTTTGTCACCGGACAAACTCCTGGAGCGTTGAATCTGTAATTCAATAACATTGGTTTCATCACCATCAGGTCCATCGACCCTCTCTAATTTAGGGGCCATTCATTTAATACGTTAGACTATTTAGGGGGGGGGGGGGGCAGAGTGGTCGACAGTGTTTTTTTCTCGATAGTTCCAATGTAAGATCATAAAAATGTGCAAAGTTAATTTGAAAGACCTTTGCCCTTACCAGAGGCAAATGGAGGATTTTGCCATGCTGATCAAATGGTTTGGGAAAACATGTATTTACTACAAAAAAGTTACTAAAAACTTTGAATTCAAGAATCTGACCTGTTTCTCTTGAAGATCCANCAGATCCAAATTGTCTATCTCTAAATACTCATGACTGATATTTTCGTCAATATACTCAACATTCTGGTCCACAACAATATTTTCATCATCCATATTATTATTAAATGATGCCTCTACAACATCATCATCTAAGATTTCGTATTCCACAAAATATTCTGCGTCATCGTTGTCCGCTTCAAAGATTTGTGGATTTTGGAATAGTTTACGTAGTTTTTGGTCAGTTTTTACACTTTTAATCCTAAATTGTAGCGCTAAATTAAATGTATCTATGCATTTTGTACACATCTTTTGAGATAGACCATCATTTAGTTTAATCTGTAAATAAACACAACTATTTAAGTATTACAGCTTACTTATCAAATGTATATTGATTGAATTATGTACAGAAGACGGCACAACAAACTACGCAATGGGACATGGCGTACGTACCACCGCCATCTATTCTACACACAATGCCATCTATTGGTGTAAATTTAAACTAAAGTTACCTCCAAACCTGTCACTTCTTTCAAATCTTGTGACCGCTTTTTCGCGGTCTCTTCCGTGTAGAAAATGTCCATTAAGTTTTTATTTATCAAACAGGTTCTACAGTAATCCGATACTTGCTCAAAAACTTCAGTATTTTCCCCGTTTTTCGCAGGTTTTGCCTGTTTTTTACGTAAGCTCTGCCTGCGAGAGCGCATCTTACGGTTTAACATTAAAACAGCAAGCATTTTATTAAGAATACGATGAAATGATATGCAGACAATTTAAAACTTAAAAGACTTTGATAAATTACAGATATTTTCGTAATTAATTAGATTTTCCAAGCCGCAAAAAAGCAAAATATTTTTGTGCAAAAATTGACATACGCAATTTTTTCAGCAATCTTATTTTACCGACTGTCACGTTAATTGCGTTTTGTTATCGTGATTGATTACCTTAAGTTGAAGCGGTAAAATATGTTTTGCGTGAAGAAACAAAACGGATTATTGTCAACAAAAAAGTGTTTTGTTGTTAGCCGAATTCAAAGAGCATGGCCGAATTCTTAAATCTTTTTTTCTCATTCAAATTCATGTTTTTAACAAAAATATCATTCGGAATTAGTGAATAGACGTATAAAATTAATATACTTACTCAATAAACTGCACAAATGTATCCATGGACGTGTTGTAGGACTTGTTTAGGCTTAGAAAGTTTGAATCCAATTTTTCCTGAGTTTGGTAAAAAACACAAATATTCGGAGGCTGTGTTCGCTGCTACTGGTTTGATGGTAAGTTATTACCGGTTCCTAGATTTGCTATCTGGTATATCCTAAGAAAACTTATGAAATAGGCGCCTTTTCGTAAACATTTCTTTTCTTGTCTGCTGACCAACTAAGTCTAAGCACTGTGACTTATGTATCAATATTGCTCCTAAGCCTACCCTCTGGCCGTCCCTTCATCAACATCATCATTTCGGTGAACATTGGCCTCTGTCTGCCAGTTGAAATATCATATCAAAATTATCTTTATTTGTGTAGACTAATTAAATTGCAGGAGATAGAGGAGAGTGGAAACAGTTGGAGAAGGCCTTTGCCAAAAAAGGCACACAGACAAGTGTCAATTAGAATAATATTAAACTCAATCAATTTTAAACTCTGTATGTCTGAATAAAGGCTTATATTATTATTATTATTAATTTAATTAGTACTTACAAATCGTCAAAATTAAATGCTTTTAAGGAGCCTAGACATGTCTCATTATTTTTTTACCCTACCAGCAAACATTTGGCAAGTGCTGAGAAGAAGCGCCGCAACAAACTCAGTCACCACTGTCTGCCGGTTTACAAATGCAAAAACAATGATCTAGGACTATATCATAATTAATTTTTACCCATTATTAATTTCAGGTGGACCCAAATGACTACCTGCCTCAGCAAATGTGTTCAACGTGCATTGCGTTCATAAACGAATCAAAAGAGTTCCGTAAAAAAGCAATAGAATCCCACAAAGAGCTCCTCAAACGTCTGCAAAGCTGTTCCAATGACAATAAATTGGTTTTGGAGTACGAACCAGAAAAAAAGCCATTGAAAATAGAAATCGTAAGCGAGAATCCGATTAATATTAATGATGACTGGAACGATAAGTTTTCAGATGACGACGATATTCCGTTGGACCATTTCAAGTCTGTTAAAAAGTTTGAGGCCGATTCATCTGATGATCACAAACAAATCACAGTTAAATCTAACGGGGAAAATAAATTAAATTCCACACAAGATTCTGTATTAAACGCCCCAGACATCGTAAATGAAGGAAACAAAGTCGGTGAAACCACAGAAAAAAAGACGGTTAAAAGAAAACCTAGAAGTAAAAAGACAGATAAAGAAGACAAAAGTACAGTCAAGACGGAAAGAGTGAAGGAAAGAATAGAATGTGAATATTGCCATAAGATATTAACATCCAAATTGTCAGTTAGAAACCATTATAAGATACACACAGGTTTTGATGTAGTGTGTGAGGTAAGCTATGATTTTAAGTAACTATAAAGCTCTATAAAATAGCCGAAGTAGATTTGTTTCATCCAAATGACGTCCACTGCTGGACAAATACCTAAGGATTTCCACAACGATCTTCGCCGCGTCCAGGCACCTCCCGCGACCTTTTCCAGATCGTCGGTCCACCTAGTGGGCCTACTCACTACGTCTTCCGTCCCGTGGTCGCCACTTAAGAACTTTCTGCCCCAGCAGCCAGCATTTTATTTATTTAAAAACTTAATTGCATTTTGCATTGTGCAAACACTAAAAAACTTTAGCGGTACAAAAAGGCGAACTTAATGCCATGTGGCATTCTCTACCAGCTGACCTTGAGCAACACAGAGAATTTAAATGAGCGGTGCTAAATCTTATGGGCTGGTTTCCCAGTCAGTCGTCGTCGTTGCAGTCCAGGATGGTACATATCTGCCCTGTAAGTGCCTATTCACTCTCGCCTTGAAAAGGCCCGGCTTATAGTGTTCAGGAAAGACAGCAGCAGCCCTAGCTGTTCGCATTATAAAAGAGTCATTGAAACGCTTAGTGCGAGCTGGTGTAATGTTGACATTGTTGTTTTTTTCTTCTTTTATTCTATCTGCGATCAGCCATCAGCCTTTATCAGATGGTAATATTGACAGTTCCGGCTGTGCACATCCCATGATGTGTCATCTCAGTGGACTTTGTAAACCAAGGTGCACAGCTCAATGTTGTTGATTTATTATTGTTTTCCAGCACTGCGGCAAGAAGTTCATAACTCGTCGTCTGCTGCTGATGCACTGTCGAGCCAAACACGGCTATGAGAAGGTTGACAAGTGTTCGTATTGTGACTATAGAGGCTCCAACGCAGAGCAAGTCAAGGTATGTGGTTGTTTTGTACGCTGAAAGTTTATACTGGGGCATTTTGATGTAACCAATGGGTATATGAAATGTCTTGTCTATAAAAGAAATATCACAAAAATTCTGTTCCTTTTAAATTCGATCGAAACCTAACTAGAAAAAAAAAACCTGAAATTAGCTCAGGGTGACGTCACATTTTTGCCATTTTTTTATGCATAGCAAAGACCTCAATATTTATAATAAGTCTCACAACTTTTCTCGGATTTATTTAAACGAATATAGTGTTAAGTTTACCAGCCTAATATGGTTTATGGTATAAGACATTTATTTCTCTAAGAAAATAACATTCACTTACAAGAGAAATACAAAATTAACTTTAAAACTATATAGAGATTGTTAACCCAAATATCACAATAACCGAAGAAAGCTGTTTTCAGATACACGAGCGTCTGCATACTGGCGAGAAACCGTACAAGTGCGGGGAATGCGACGACGCCTTCCACAGAAAGAGCAGCTACCTGCAACACATCGCTACGCACTTGAAGGAGAAAACCGTACAGGTGAGAACTGAGAACAAATGGCAATGCCAGATTTTGTATGAAAGGTGGCGTCTTTTTTTTTTTCGCGCGGCCATCGACCAAGCTTTGTTTTTTGATTACAAAATAGTGTAATAAACCAAACTTACTATGACATGTATACCTCTAAACTCAGTCTGAATTACTGAGTTACGAGCGTTAGAAGTTTGATGATTTACATACTAGATTTGCTTTTTGCGCGCAAGTTTTGTAAGAAATTGCAACAAAATATTGCGCTATTTTTTAATGCGCTGATTCTACTCCACACTGATGTCTGGAGCCTTTAATGGATGGTATTGTTTGTTTACACATACAATGTCACTATTTTGTTGCAATTTCATACAAAACTTGCGCGCAAAAAGCAAATCTAGTATGTAAATCATCAAACGTCTAATGCTCGTAACTCAGTTCAGACTGAGTTTAAAGGTATACATGTCATAGTAAGTTTGGTTTATTACACTATTTTATATCCAAAAAACATGGTTTGGTCGATGGCCGCGCGAAAAAAAAAGACGCCAATTTCCGGCATTGTCTTTTAGTAAGAATACATCAACACAATCTGTATTAATTTTAACCGCCTCTGACCACCTGCTTCAGACGCAGAGGTCCCGGGTTTGATTCCCAGTGGGGGCAGATTTTTCTGTTCGATTTGGTTGGTGGTAGGGCTTGTTCTTAGTCCGCCTGGATAGCTACGACCATCTTACCTAAGTCTGTCGCCATAACAACAATGTTAACAGCATTATTGTGTTCCGGAATTTGGGGTCAGAGAAGAATTTCGTCCATTGACCCCAAGCTAGCCATCCTTATCGCTCGCGCGTAATTATATTGCTGTCGCAACAGTGCGACGGGCGGCCGCAGTGAGTGTGTGCGTGACGAAATTATATCTGCTCGGCAACCGGACTTTAGTAAGAATACATCAAAAATACAATCTCTATTTGTGAACCTCTCCGCAGCCTACGACACTGTTAACTTGAGACGTTTGTTGTGGAAGGTGGAGTCCCTTACCAATGACAGTAACTTTGACAACGTAATCGGAGGTTCCATGTCCACCTCCTGTCCGACAAAAGTCGTTGGAGGACACAAAAAATGGTTGGCCCCAAGGGCCCTCAAGGCAGTGTCTTGGCACCCATTCTATTTAATGTGTCCACCAAGGACAAAGACCATCTAACCCCTACATGTCGCGCTTCTTATATGCAGACGACCTCGCCTTAACTTCTTAGGGTACTAGTTTCGAACAGGTTGAAGACGACCTATCGAACGCTCTAGAAAGACTGGGAGAGTACTATGAGCCATACAACCCAAAGTTATTCGCACATGGATGTAGACGTTGTTAAATAGTGACAGTGTCTAAAGCCTGGTCCGTGAGCACGTAGAATTTTGCCCAATAACCCCAAGCTACCCATCCTTATCGCTCGCGCGTAATTATGTTGCTGTCGCGCTCGCACACTCACTGCGGGCGCCCGTCGCACAGTCGCGACAGCAATATAATTACGCGCGAGCGATAAGACGAAAAGACGAGAAAGACGAAAAGAGATCCGCGGAAGACCAGCTTCGTGACTTGCCCTTTCGAGCATGTCACGATAAATGCTGAGCGGGTGCCTATTGGCACAGTTTTTTTTTTCTCTTACCCTTAACTCTTTGTTTTATAGCTTATGTATTATTTTGTGTTTTTGTGTATTTTTTTCTGTATTGTGTCTTTTTAATGTGTCAATAAACCAACTCTATTCTATAAGGATGGGTTGCTTGGGGTCATTGGACGAAATTCTACGTGCTCAGCGACCAGACTATAGTCTATAATAATTTCTTTTCCAGTGCACCGAATGCCCCTCCCGCTTCAAATCGGTTACTTTAATGCGCATCCACCGCGCTCGTCATAAGCCTTCCCAACACGCCTTCCGCTGCGAGTTGTGCGGTAAGAGCTTCGCGCGCCGCCGCAACGCAGCGCGCCACGTGTATAGGGCACACCGCGCGCAAGGACACGTCGCGAGGTACAAGAACAATTGCGGGATCTCTACGTAAAGGTTGGTTGAGTTACAGAGAAAATATTGTCACTTTTTGAGCCATAGGGTCGGTTTGTTGCGATTTAAGGTCATTATGACGCAATTTAGACACTTGATTGCGTCATTTTGTGACTTTGTCGCGTCATATGGACACTTAATTGCGTCACTTTGTGACTTTGTCGCGTCACATGGTCACTTTGTCGCGGCATATGGTCACTTTTGTGTCATGTTTACTTTATCGCATCATATGGTCACTTTTTGTATCTTATGGGAAATTGTTTTGCGTCTTGTGGGCACTTTTGAGTCATGTGGTCACTTTATCACACACTTCGTCACAGAGCCATCATTAGCCACTTTTAGTGCCGTATTGTCACTTTTTTGCGTCACACTGTCATCATTAGACACTCGGTCATCATTAGTCACTTTAAGCCATCCCGTCTAGGACACGTCATTTAGACACTTACACGGTTATGGCCTCCAAAAGACATTTGGTTCCTCATATTTGACAAAAAAGTCCACTATAAATGCCTTAGCACTTGCATTCTCGCCCCTCTCCCGCTTCAAATCGGTCACTTTAATGCGCATCCACCGCGCTCGGCACAAACCTTCGCAACACGCCTTCCGCTGCGAGTTGTGCGGTAAGAGCTTCGCGCGTCGCCGCAACGCAGCGCGCCACGTGTACAGAGCGCACCGTGCCCAGGGACACCTCGCGAGGTACAAGAACAATACAGGGATCTCTACGTGAAGGTTTGGAGAAAATACGGTAATTTTTTGAGCCAAAAAGACACTGAGACATTTTGTGACTTTGTCGCGTCATATGGTCACTTTTGTGTCATATGTTTACTTTATCGCATCATATGGTCACTTTTTGTGTCTTATGGGAAATTGTTTTGCGTCTTGTGGGCACTTTTGAGTCATATGGTCACTTTTTCACACACTTCGTCACAGAGCCATCATTTGCCACTTTTAGTGCCGTATTGTCACTTTTTTGCGTCACACTGTCATCATTAGACACTCGGTCATCATTAGTTACTTTAAGCCATCCCGTCTAGGACACGTCATTTAGACACTTACACGGTTATGGCCTCCAAAAGACATTTGGTTCCTCATATTTGACAAAAAAGTCCACTATAAATGCCTTAGCACTTGCATTCTCGCCCCTCTCCCGCTTCAAATCGGTCACTTTAATGCGCATCCACCGCGCTCGGCACAAACCTTCGCAACACGCCTTCCGCTGCGAGTTGTGCGGTAAGAGCTTCGCGCGTCGCCGCAACGCAGCGCGCCACGTGTATAGGGCACACCGCGCGCAAGGACACGTCGCGAGGTACAAGAACAATACAGGGATCTCTACGTGAAGGTTTGGAAAGAATACGGTCACTTTTGAGCCAAAAAGACACTTCATTACGTCGTTTTGTGACTGTCGCGTCATATGGACACTTTTGTGTCATTTGGTTACTGTATCGCGTCATATGGTCACTTTGTTGCGTTATATGGTCACTTTGTTGCGTTATATGGTCACTTTGTCGCGTCACATGGTCACTTTGTCGCGTCATATGGGTCACTTTTGCGTCAATATGTCACTTTTTGCGTCTTATGGTAACTTTTTGTGTCATATGGTCACCTTAATGCGTCTTATGGTGACTTTATAGTGTATTATGGTAATTTTGTCGAGTCATATGTTATCTTATGGTCATTGTGACGTCATTTATTGACTTTATTGCGTCATTTGGTCTCTTGGTTGCGTCATAGTCACTTTTTTGCGTCATTAAAGTCATCGTTAATCATTTTGAACCATGCGGCTGCTAGGACACGTCATTTAGACACTTAGATGGTCATGGCCTCCACTAGACACTTGGTTCCTCATATTTGACAAAAAAATCCACCAAAAATGACTTAGCACTTGCATTCTCGCCCCTCTGCCGCTTCAAATCGGTCTCTTTAATGCGCATCCACCGCGCTCGGCACAAGCCTTCCCAACACGCCTTCCGCTGCGAGTTGTGCGGTAAGAGCTTCTTCTAGTTATGCGGTAAGAATAATTGCGGGATCTCTACGTGAAGGTTTGGAGAAAATACGGTAATTTTTTGAGCCAAAAAGACACTGAGACATTTTGTGACTTTGTCGCGTTATATGGACACTTTTGCGTCATTTGGTTACTTTATCGCGTCATATGGTCACTGTTGCGTTATATGGTCACTTTTTTGCGTCATTTTGTGGCTTTGTCGGGTCATATGGTCACTTTATCGCGTCATGTGGTCACTTTTTGTGTCATATGGTCACTTTGTTGCGTCTTAAGGTCATTATGATGCCATTTAGACACTTTATTGCGTCCTTTAGTCACTTGTCGCGTCACATTGTCACTTTGTCGCGTCATATGGTCACTTTGTTGCGTCTTATGGTCACTTTGTCGCGTCACATGGTCACTTTATAGCGTCACATAGTCACTTTGTACGTTTAATAGTCTTTGTTAGTCATTTTAGTAATTCGGGTGATCCAACCTGTGTAGGAGACATCCAATTATTTTTATGGCCTCTTTAGCAACCTTTAAGATTTGACCCCGTACATATATTTTTGTATTAAACATTGTGATAGTAAAAATTAAGAAATAGATGATAAATTATGATAAGTAAGTAATGTATGGTATTAATAATTTATATAACATAAAGTATTATTGTATGCAGTATTTGATAATGTATGCCTATTGTTTACCTATTTTAAGTCTTATTAATTTTTAAGGGTTTATTTAAAGGAAATAATGCGTTTCTACACTATTATACAGGGTGTCGGTAGAAGGTTTGACAAACTTAGTGGGAGTATAGGTGAGGTCATTTTGAGAATACGAATTCGCCCATATGACCCTAAGTGAGCTACTTTTTTAAATTGTTTTTATTTATTTTTTTAATATTTTTTACTGTATACCCACGAAGTTTGTGTAGTCTCCTACCAAACATCCTGTATATTACGGTAGATATCAAATTAAAGACAATTAATTATTTTAACATATTTTATTTTAGGTCAATAAATGAAACTTAAACTATTTGATATATTTATTAACAAATAAATAGTGAATTTTATTTAACTATGTGTTTCATTCAAAAGGTGACACTTTTAATGTGTTTTATAAGCGAAATAAATAAATAAATACACAATATAATAATATTTATTGTGTATTTATTTATAATAACTCTAGAATAATGTGTTTATATATTTAGACTAAAAATTTACATAATTTATTTATTCACAAGTCTGTCAGGATAGTCGCAATTTCATTTTTTACCCAAATGCGTCAGAAGGAAGGTTATGTTTTTTGTAGTCAACAGTTGGAGACCCGAATTCAGAGCGTGGTGTGAGTCCCTTAGAGCATAATGGGTTCTATTCCCGTTAGGGTCAATACTTAATACATTTGCTGTAATACAAGTCAAGAGACCACAATTTAGCATGACGAAAGGATCAAACACATTATCCTCTTTTCTGCAGTCGGTAAAATAAGGTGACAATTCTGACATACTAAAGCCCGGTCGCCGAGTACGTAGAATTTCGTCCAATGACCCCAAGCTACCCATCCTTATCGCTCGCGTGTAATCATGATGCTATCGCGCTCGCACACTCACTGCGGCCGCCCGTCGCACAGTCGCGACAGCAATATAATTACGCGCAAACGATAAGGATGGGTAGCTTGGGGTCATTGGACGAAATTCTACGTGCTCGGCGACCGGATTATATCTAAAAACCGCATCACACCAAGAAATCTATTTTATAGGATACATACACATTTATACACAATTCTTCTAATATATTTAGGTCCTCTTGCCTTTAAGTTAATTTAGAATAAAGTACTGTTATTTAAGTGAAATTAAAACGTATATTTCTATTGGATTTTAAGTTTCTACAATACAAACGTAGTATTCGGTACGCTCGTGTGATCTAACGGGCATGTTACAATTCACCAGGAGAAATTATTGCGAGATTTTGTGAGAATACGCCTAATTACCGCCGAAGCAATTTTATGCAAGTTCTGCTGATCAGTACTCAGATAATTGGCCATTTCTGATTACATTTGTCCTTCAATTTGTTCAAATTTATAGATAGGCAGTTTCTCACATGTTTCCAGAGCTTTTCCAGTAGACTATCTGACAAAGACGCGAGTCGCGAAAAGGGCCAGAAAAATTCTCTTCTCGCGCTCTCTCACGCCCTTATTAAAATTATAAACCCAAAGCCTGGCTTTTTTGTGTATTTTACATTGAAAATATAGCATATCAGTAAACGATTTGTGATAAAAAAATAGTGTTTTTATTTAAATATTGCACAGATATGTGGCGCCTAAGTGAGGTCTAAAACCAACTTTTTTTTATAAATTCAGTGTCGATGCGGAGGCAGTTACTCTAAACCGAATTGATTAATATTTTGCATGACTTCATTTAAGCCCTAAAGGCACAAAATTTTGACTATTACATTACAGATATCTGAAAAAAATTTTTTCGCTCCACCCTACTACCCATCCTTGTCGCTCGCGCGTAATTATATTGCTGTCGCGACTGTGCGACGGGCGCCCGCAGTGAGTGTGCGAGCGCGACAGCGACATAATTACGCGCGAGCGATAAAGATGGGTAGCTTGGGGTCATTGGACAAAATTCTACGTGCTCAGAGACCAGACTAGTTCGTAACTTGATCGTACCTATGTATTCTTCCTCTATAGACATCTCGAGCCGCCGCAACGAGCCTTGGTAGTCGGTGTGGAAGTTTTCCTTCACGTAGTATGGGACCTGGAAGAAAGAGAAGATACAGTCAGATATTTATTTATGCAGAACAAGAACAACAGAAATGAAATGAAATAGTTTATTCAGTACATATTATGCCCTTTCCAATAGGCCTAAGATGCGCGCCGTGATAAATTTTATCGACGTCAAAATGTATGGGAAAAATCGATAAAATTGCGTGATAACCGCTTATCGCGGCGCGCATCTTATTCCTACAGGGCACTTATACACGTCCCAAATCCCACGGATCTACTATAGTGAGCGCGATAGGCACGCCCACAACCTAGAGACATATGACGTCACACTTTCTAGTATCTAGTGGTGCCTGGTTGATGATAATCTATCAAATGCGTTGAGTAATTGTGACGTGACATCATTTTTTGAGCTTGCCTTATATCAGCAAGTCGATACGACGCGAATCAAAGGAGTTAGGTTATATTAGGTTAGAATCAGATGACAAGCCGTACGGTTTTAAAATCTTTCTCGAATTGTCTCTGTTTTGTACTTACGCGTTAGAATGAACGCGCGTCCATCCCAATTTAGCGTAATGGTGCGTCCAGACTGGGCGAACGGGCTCGCGAGGCAAACTCGACATTTTATTTTATTT